TATTCTTTATTCTATGTCTAGATATTAATATAGACAAGACTGTCGTGACTTTTAAATTGGACAATTAGGGAAATCCTTAAGAATCTGGGAATATATTTTAGTTTATTTACATACAATACTTCCGCATCTATCGAGACATGACAAAATGAATATTCACAATATTAATAACTATATTGATATGAGTGCATTCCTATTTTTGTACATCACAATAATTTTATGTGTTAATATCATACGTCCTTGTCCGATACGATTTTTAACGTGTTTGTATGCCTGGTGGTGACATCGTTGTTTACCATGGGAAAGTAGCACAACACTCATTTGTATTGTCCAAGTTTACATGGCGAATACATCCTAAAGCGTATAACCACTTGAATGCGTAAGCGAACAAGGTGTTTGTTACTCGTTCTTAGAACTATGTGTTTGAGAGTCTCGTGTGTCAAGTTTGTAACTTGTATGATCAACGGAGAAAATAAAGCTGTCTTTGTTTTATTGTTCTGTCGTACTGAAACATTAACGTAGTAACATACAGTTATTAGACAATAACTACATATTATTCCTTCTATACATGTACACGTACTGCTATACTGCCCTATCGTTATGTGTCGTTAAGGATTTTTGTTTCACAGCCAGAGCATTAGTTCCATTTTATTCCCCACCTAATAACACAACAGAACGAAAGTTGGGGACTAATTGGTGATATTGTAATTAAACTTGGTGTGAATATTGGTGACCATGTACGGTTTGCTTCAGACCTTGTTTCCAAATTGCAAGATGGCCGTCGTTAAATGTTGTCCAATTTTTATGAAAGTAAACACATAGGTGTGATCTAATATTAGAAACACAACAATGCAATCAGTTTTTTTTAAAATTGAAATACAAACATGATCGTCAAAAACGATTAAACCTTGAACCTTAATATATGTATTGGTAATGGTGTATGTCAATGCTCTTACAACCCTTTCTCATGTTGGCAACCGTTTTATAGGCGTGTCAGCTACCTGTTGTCCAGCGTCGTCTGCAGAGCCTGCTGATTGGCCAGTGGTTTACCCGAGTTCTGCATGACGGCCTCCTGGCCTAGATTATGTACACTAGAGGTCAGGATCGTGCTTCAGTGTAACTAGACTGAGCTGTTGAGTAGAACTATTTCCTACATCATATATGCATTATTTTGCAATAGCAGGGGTAGTTTGGGGGAGTTATGGGACGGTTTCCGTTATAATTATGAACTTGTTTCAGTCCCATTTTATCGCTACCTTGTACATTATTGGCTTTGACAGACAAAACGTGGCTTAACATAACGGCATTGGATGCCTAAGCTGTCCTGTTCACCGCGGCACATGTCTTGTTATATTATGTTGAAGGTTACTATTGTTTATTATACCTGAAGCTTACCACTCATTTTTTATCTGAAGTTTACTAGTCCTTGTTTCAGTCAAAATATATTATTAACTTTTTACTATATATTACATCTCCTCTGAAGTTTTTCCTTTTTTCACCTTAAGTTTACTATTTTTTTTTTTATCTGAAGTTCTTCATTCCTTTTTTTTTACCTTAAGTTACTGTTTCATTTTTCACCATCCTATCATTTGCTTTTGTTTACTGAATACTTGCATTAAAAACATCACAAGACTTGTTTGTTTTTCGTCTTGTCCACAAGGTGTCACACAGGGAAACCTCAATTTCGCCGTGACGTTTTCCAGGGATGCGTACACAAAATAGGATGCAATAACTGCGATGCATCGCACATGGGAGAAACAGACAGGAGATTCGGGGTCCGACTCCATAAACATCCGAAATACGTGGTATCTTAAGAAGGGAAAATCACTAAACAAAAACCATTATCTGTCTCAGATCAATAAATAGGCGCTTATAGATCATTCAACATAGCAAAATCCTATCAATTACAGGGAAAATTACAAAATAGTCGACAGGGAAAATTACTTTCTGGTTAAGGAAGTTTTCTGGATACACAGCAGCGGGCCAGTAATAAAGAACGTCAGGGGCCACAAACTCTCGGACATCAATGATCTAAGTCTAGCCGTATTGACTTCAGTACATTGTTACCAAATGGACTTATCAACCGTTTGACCATTGGAATTAGGTTGAAACTATTTTATCTATGTTATGCGTCGTCAATAGGTGGCGTGATGGTCTGAGATTTGTACGTAAAAAATCATACCGAGTGCTACCTGTATGCGTCATTCGTGCGACACAGGTAGCGGCAGACAGACATAAAACTATTGTTTGATAAATCCATTTATTACATTTTTGCCAGTGAAATATGTTCTTTTTCTGTAACGCTTTTTGTTATTTTTCACTTAGCCTACTGGTTTATAAAGATACCCACCCCTGAAGATAAAATAATGATATGCAATTTGTCGCCGAATGGATGACCTGATGACGTCATAAACGACATGCAATGAACTCGGATATTAGTTTTTAACACGCACTCCTTTGTGATTCGTTTATACTGTAACGTTGCCGTACAATGGAAACAGAACGAAAGTTCACTTATTTACATGTGTTTTTATGTTAGATATATCTTACTTTATTATGACAATGCGTTCATATCTAGATACATTATATATATATCATAAATCATACTCGGGTACAGTTACGACAGGTAATTCAAACCCGGAACATTCGGGTATACTTATATCGCTGTATAGGATGTTTTGTGTTAATCTATTGATATTTGGACATTGTAGCACACCTGACTAAGGGGGAAATTTGACTCTGGGATAGGTGGTTAGGCAGTTGCAGAATTTCTCATCTAGGCGATTTGGTGCCGTAGATCATGAGATGCCCGGACAGTGCACAAGTCAAAAATTGTCTTCCTTCATCAGTTGTGTTACAATGCCCAATGGATTCATAAATAAACACAATACACAATATACAATGATGCTTCTGGTCCAACGGTTTCAAAATTGAATTACCTGTCCCAATAGTACCTAAGTTTCGTACACATATATTTCATCATGTTAAACTGGTCACTTCACTCTTTATGATCAGAAGAATTTAATACTTGATATTCACCAATCTTTTACTTTCTTCACGTTTTATTTTCCTGTGTTGCATTCATATCGTTTCAATCTGTGCCTAAATATTTTATGGCCTTAAGTGGATAGTCATGATTGACAGAAATACTGAAATGCAATTAGGGCGTAGACACCGAGTTACAACAAAAGGCAAAGTGACAGATAATCAATTACTTTCTGAAAGATAAGAATATTCGTTAAAAAATTCATAATGATATATCGGTCAAGATCGTAAGTGGTTGATCAGTCATCATCATAATAGTGAGCGTAGATCGAGCGAAGCGTGCGAAGGAGAAAACGTGAAAAAACACGCATACTATTAGACCTGAAGTTGTGACACGGAAGTGAAAGTCCCGGCAATGCTTTGCGAAAATAGCAACATTGCGGACATAGCAAAAATATTCTCGTTCACCAATACGCCTCTTAACGTGTGGAGACAAACAAGAGCCTGACTGAACGAAACTACGCAATTAGTATCTTACATACAGAGAATGTCCGAAAGGATGAACTAGGAAAGCAAAAGACCATGAACTAGATAGGAACACAATAAATACAATATTCAAGGAAAAAGATTTAATTACAAATAAGTTTATTGATTATTTTCACGTTTGTTTACCACAGTGAAATACACAAGTTAAATACTATGCTCGCTCAAAATGGTTTGGCCCTTATTGATATTGAAAAGGATACATTGTACATACAATATCTCGTTATTTCAGTTATTTCATGGTACCGACGGTGACATAAGCAAGAGAACTTTCTACATCACTGGAAGTGATATCGAGGACTTAGGATTGGAGACAACCACTTTTCAATCATGTATAGACAATGGGTATAACAATAAGCACCTAACATTCATATATCATATTTTGAGAGACTTATCTAAAAGCTTGTAAGTTATCATCTAAACAACTCGTCATATCCAATCAATTTCATTCACGCTTGAGAAATAATTGTTAGTTACAAAACAAATTTAAGAATTAGTCAAATATTATTTTTTTATGTGTAAGTCATTCAATTTATATAACAAATGTTCGACCTACTTCTGAGTCATGACCAAAATACAAAGTGTCGTTGTTATCTAAATAAGCTTTGTACCTTAGTGTTCGGTGTTCTATGGATCGTTGTCATGTTACGGCCGGCGTTTGTTATACTGGTTTATCAATATGTTATGTAGTTTTGCTAACATTTATCAGCGTTTCTGTTTCTGTTTTGGGGAGCAGAATTAGGATAGAGATAGAATACAGAGTATGTTTAAGGCTTTAATCTCCCAGGTTTTTTTCCCTTTTAATATGATATGGCTTCTCTTTGCATTTTCTTTAGAATTCGTATATCAATGTTGATTCTATATCCAAGTACTGTGTTCTCAAAATCTAACTTCATGTACAACATATAGTTTCCAGATATGCTGTTTCATGAAGACTGAGAAATTTGATACAATCACTATCTGGTTGCAAGATTTTATATTGCTTTATGTACCTTGGTCCTCGGTGGCAACTGTGACATTTTGCAGGTGTTGGATTAACTAGAGTATATTCCATATGTTAAATATTTTACACAACGATCGGGTAAAACTTCTGAATTGCCTACCAAAACAAGGATCCGTCCGATCGGCGTAGAAGCAATATCAATACATATGTCGAACTGAAAATTATGAATAATTTTCTTTTAAAACACTTGATATTTTTATATTTGCAAAATAGCGAAATATAACCTAACATTGGTAATATGCTTTCACTTCGAATCACAATAACTCCTACAGTGTAGAAGTAATTAAGCTACCGAGATAGAGTTTTCATACTTATCTATTCTTGTTAATTTTCCTTCCTATAACAGCAAAATGACAGTACATACTCACAACAGACAGTACTAATAGTAAGATTTTAGAAGGATCACCAAATGGATATAAATAACACGAGCTCAGCTCTATAGGAATGCTATAGTTATTTTATTTGGATGTTTCTATATGACAATTGGTCCAGGGTCGGGGATACCTTGTATATGCATCAGGTACAGGATAGTCAGCAGCTGTAACAACAAAGGGTAGAGAATGAATTGGTATTATTGAGTGAGAGAGAGAGACACACACACACAGAGAGAGAGAGAGAGAGAGAGAGAGAGAGAGAGAGAGAGAGAGAGAGAGAGAGAGAGAGAGAGAGAGAGAGAGAGAGAGAGAGAGAGAGAGAGAGACTTGCAGAATAAAGACTTTGAGCTTATTTTATCTAAATTTAACACTGAATTGTGTGCATCGTGCATTGAAATGACAGGAAAAACTTACTGATTTGAAATATTGTTTGAATTCTGCCTCTTCCACTCGATTGTCACCTGGTGAATATACCATGTATAAATGTACAAATGTTAGATCTTCTGTTTGTGATACGAGCGAAAAAAAAACTTACACAAAACAATTACTAATTAAAAACAATTATTACATGTGGACAGATGAAACTAACATTTTCTTATTTCATAAAATGTGTATAAGCTTTAGGCAAAGAACGTGGTGTATCCTTCATAATGCGCTTGTGAAAAAGCACTTCCCTGAAATATGGACATTTAGCGCGGAAAGGTGATTTTTATCTAAGTTATCAGAGCAAGACTAAGGAAAGAAATGTATCTGTATTGTGGCATACGTTTAGGTTTATAATCTGAATTGTTTATTTTGATCGAAATTTTTATTTTGATTTAAAAAAGAACTGTGTTCCAAGCAAATATCTTTTATTTCAAGATAATTTCACATTTTGTATCATTAAATTGATTATGTTTGAAGAGCGGAATGTTCTTTTCGTTGCAATGGCTTAAAAGAATATACAACAAAACATGGGCACGAGTGAAGAATATACAACAAAACATGGGCACGAGTGAAGAATATACAACAAAACATGAGTATGAGTGAAGAATATACAACAAAACATGAGTATGAGTGAAGAATATACAACAAAACATGAGCACGAGTGAAGAATATACAACAAAACATGAGTATGAGTGAAGAATATACAACAAAACATGAGCATGAGTGAAGAATATACAACAAAACATGAGTATGAGTGAAGAATATACAACAAAACATGAGTATGAGTGAAGAATATACAACAAAACATGAGTATGAGTGAAGAATATACAACAAAACATGAGTATGAGTGAAGAATATACAACAAAACATGAGTATGAGTGAAGAATATACAACAAAACATGAGTATGAGTGAAGAATATACAACAAAACATGAGTATGAGTGAAGAATATACAACAAAACATGAGTATGAGTGAAGAATATACAACAAAACATGAGTATGAGTGAAGAATATACAACAAAACATGAGTATGAGTGAAGAATACAACAAAACATGAGTATACAGATGAAATATACAAAAAAAAACATGAGTAACAAAACATGAGTGAAGAATATGTAACAAAACATGGGCACGAGTGAAGAATATGTAACAAAACATGGGCACGAGTGAAGAATATGTAACAAAACATGGGCACGAGTGAAGAATATGTAACAAAACATGAGCACGAGTGAAGAATATACAAAAAAACATGAGTATGAGTGAAGAATATACAACAAAACATGGGCACGAGTGAAGAATATACAAAAAAACATGAGTATGAGTGAAGAATATGTAACAAAACATGAGCACGAGTGAAGAATATGTAACAAAACATGGGCACGAGTGAAGAATATGTAACAAAACATGGGCACGAGTGAAGAATATGTAACAAAACATGGGCACGAGTGAAGAATATACAAAAAAACATGAGTATGAGTGAAGAATATGTAACAAAACATGGGCACGAGTGAAGAATATACAAAAAAACATGAGTATGAGTGAAGAATATGTAACAAAACATGAGCACGAGTGAAGAATATGTAACAAAACATGGGCACGAGTGAAGAATATACAAAAAAACATGAGTATGAGTGAAGAATATACAACAAAACATGGGCACGAGTGAAGAATATACAAAAAAACATGAGTATGAGTGAAGAATATGTAACAAAACATGAGCACGAGTGAAGAATATGTAACAAAACATGGGCACGAGTGAAGAATATGTAACAAAACATGGGCACGAGTGAAGAATATGTAACAAAACATGGGCACGAGTGAAGAATATACAACAAAACATGGGCACGAGTGAAGAATATGTAACAAAACATGGCACGAGTGAAGTAACAAAAATATAAGAATAAAAAAACATGGGCACGAGTGAAGAATATGTAACAAAACATGGGCACGAGTGAAGAATATGTAACAAAACATGGGCACGAGTGAAGAATATGTAACAAAACATGGGCACGAGTGAAGAATATACAACAAAACATGGGCACGAGTGAAGAATATGTAACAAAACATGGGCACGAGTGAAGAATATGTAACAAAACATGGGCACGAGTGAAGAATATACAACAAAACATGGGCACGAGTGAAGAATATACAACAAAACACGAGCACGAGTGAAGAATATGTAACAAAACACGGGCACGAGTGAAGAATATACAACAAAACACGAGCACGAGTGAAGAATATGTAACAAAACACGGGCACGAGTGAAGAATATACAACAAAACATGGGCACGAGTGAAGAATATGCAACAAAACATGGGCACGAGTGAAGAATATACAACAAAACATGAGCATGAGTGAAGAATATACAACAAAACATGAGCACGAGTGAAGAATATGTAACAAAACACGAGCACGAGTGAAGAATATACAACAAAACATGGGCACGAGTGAAGAATATGCAACAAAACATGGGCACGAGTGAAGAATATGTAACAAAACATGGGCACGAGTGAAGAATATACAACAAAACATGGGCACGAGTGAAGAATATGCAACAAAACATGGGCACGAGTGAAGAATATATGAGCACGAGTGAAGAATATACAACAAAACATGGGCACGAGTGAAGAATATGCAACAAAACATGAGCACGAGTGAAGAATATACAACAAAACATGAGTATGAGTGAAGAATATACAACAAAACATGGGCATGAGTGAAGAATATACAACAAAACACGGGCACGAGTGAAGAATATACAACAAAACATGGGCACGAATGAAGAATATACAACAAAACATGGGCACGAGTGAAGAATATACAACAAAACATGGGCACGAGTGAAGAATATACAACAAAACATGGGCACGAATGAAGAATATACAACAAAACATGGGCACGAATGAAGAATATACAACAAAACATGGGCACGAGTGAAGAATATACAACAAAACATGGGCACGAGTGAAGAATATACAACAAAACATGGGCACGAGTGAAGAATATACAACAAAACATGGGCACGAGTGAAGAATATACAACAAAACATGGGCACGAGTGAATATACAACAAAACAAGAATATACAACAAAACATGGGCACGAGTGAAGAATATACAACAAAACATGGGCACGAGTGAAGAATATACAACAAAATATGGGCACGAGTGAAGAATATACAACAAAACATGGGCACGAATGAAGAATATACAACAAAACATGAGTATGAGTATCGCCTTTCAATACAAATGCATTTTTTAGAAGGACTAATTGGATATAATTACCGTTAATGTCGATCCGTGCGTATACAGAATCAAGGTCCTTCGTATCAATCAAACCATCCTGGTTGGTGTCAAACTCCAAAAACATGCCATATGCAATAGAACCTAAGTCGGGGTCGTCTTTCAGAAAATGAGCGTAGAATTCATTTCGTGTCACATGAGTATCATCTTTAAAAGGAAAAAGAAGAATACACTTTCAAAACTGTTAGAACTGTGATCCAAATTTGACTTGTGTAAAAAAAACATGTGTAATTTAGAAAGAAGGACGTTCGCTTGTGTCATGGTATAGATTTCTTACTGTCAGTGTCGTATGAATGGATGAAGCTTTCAAGGTCACTCCTGAGAAACACATGATCACTGTCGGTCTCAAGCTGAGTCCATAGATTATTTGTTGCGTTATCTATGTGTGACAAAAAGATCTGTGCTGGGTCAGCCTGACAGAGACTGAAATAAAAAGGGAAATATTAAAAAATTACATTGTATTAATAGGAGAACCCAAGTATTGTCCTTATTATAGAAATGGTCTACCATAGTCTAACACAGAATGGATGCAACATAGAATACAAAACGGCATACTTTCACAGGTAAGCTTTATTTGCATTTAGAGGTTATTTTCAATTTCCTCGTAGATGTCCTTCCGTTGTTTCGTATTTGTGAAAAGAAACAGAGCTATCTAACACTCAGTACTATCGCTGTTCATAGAATAGAAGTTCTTATGACACAACCAGTATTGAAGTGTGATGTTTCGATGACTCAGCTGTACTATAAGGCTATGTGCCCTAAGGTAGAAAAGAGTATGCCGAGATATTAAAAATATTACATAAAAAAGTACACAAGATAGTAACAAGGTACTGTGGTCGATTTGACCACGATCTGTTTAAAAGTTGGTCATAGAAGGTCGAGAGTATGAAACCCCCTCGTCCCTGTTCTTCTACTGGTTGTGTTACAAGTATATTTATTTTATTTGCATTACCAACTCGAAGAAAATTTCCGGAACTATCCCTGAACAGATCACAAATACTTTTACACTTATTGTCATAAACAGCAAAGTAACAAAAAGGAATTAAATACAGAATGACAGTCATGGAACATATCCATATATAGGCAGACGTGTACGCGTCTATTTCATGTATATCAGAATTTTTGTTCACACTGGTAGATGTATATATATATATATATAAATAGATAAATAATATATCCCCTCCCCTCGAGTTCCTGAGGCTACGAGTCGGTAATCAATACCAGACAATTTCGATAAAGATTGAGTCATAAAACACTTGTCCAAGACAAGTAAGAGAGGAAAGGCAAGGCAAAACCCCTCTACTACCTGTATCCATAGAAACAAAGGACCAGTAACCACATGTATCTGACGGTAAACATATTGTCGACCCTCTCGCTTCTGGACTCCAAATGAACTGCTGAACTGGACGGCCGATAAGGCTTGTCATAAATACCTAGAGATAAGCACATCGAAGGGAAGTCATGAAGTTAACAAAATTGACCTTGATATTGGTTAAGTAGAGAATAGCAGATTAAATAAAGATTATAGTTACAGTGATGTAATGTTTCAATAGAAATGGACTAATTCTGAGCTGGACGTAATTGATGTTCCTTAGTTTGCCTGTTGGTTCTATTGTATGTATACCCTGTTCTCATTTGAGAATGCGACATTATTTACTTGGATTGACCAAGATTACGTGGCGGGTGTCGTTGATAAAAAGTGCTTACGCTTCCGGAACACCTGGTCTTATTCTCTTATATCCCTTGTACTTTTTGTGGAGTCTCCGTGCAAATCTTTTGTCTTTTGTTCGTATTTTGCCCTCGTTTGATCGAGACTGAGTTTGGGTTATGTTGACATGTTGGAATTTCCTTTTTTTTTTTTTTTTTTTTTGGGGGGGTGGGGGGGGTGTTTGTTTTCTTTCTTTTTTTTTTTTTTTTTTTTTTTTTTTTTTTTTTTTTTTTTTTTTTTTTTTTTTTTTTTTTTTTTTTTTTTTTTTTTTTTTTTTTTTTTGTTTTTTATTTTATTCTTTTGATATATATTAAATTTAAAATAATTTTCTATTTTTCTATTGATGACACTGATAAAGCATACAGAACAAAACCCAGCAACTCTGTATATTGTATATAGAATTAAAAAACATGCCAAACAATGGAAAGTATACCATACTTGCGTTGTTTCAAGGTCTATATGCATGGAAAAAAATACAAAAACAAAAAAGCTAAGCATGTGGACAATCTATTTTTCATATATCTTTTATCTTCTAATGACTGGCTATCATAGAAGTTCAGTCAGGTAAATAATTTTAATGACTCGCCAATTTACTGTAATTTAATCTCATGTTGGATACCCATATAGGTCTCCTTTGTGTAACAGATATATCCACGGTATAAAAACAAGATACTAGTCTCGAGGACTGATATGTTTTTACTATGAAGGACGTGTCGGATGATTGGGCTGATCACTCCAGGCTACCCCAATAAGAAGATTATTTGATTCCAAATTTAAGATAAACAATCAAAATAAACGACAGTTAAAATCTGAAAACATTTCCAATTAATAAAAGTCCCACCAAAAGTGAGTAATGTATTTGAATGGAAAGTAAGTGACTTTACAGTCAACGACTACTATAAAACCGAGGTCATGGTATTATATGAATTGATATTTGCAAATAAAGTCTAAATCGTTTAAATAATAGATAAATGTCTCATGGCGTGTCCGTCAGATTACATCAGTAGTTTTACGACTAGTGCTGGTCAGTACACTTGACCATGACCTCAAGCCCTTAAGCCACTACACAGAACACGAAAGATAAGCAAAGTAAACGGACGGCTTTCTGGTTGATTTATCTAATTAATTGGAAAATGTATTGAACCTTGCGTGGAATGCTCGAATGAAGTGGATGTCACTGTTTAATCTACTTTTTTTTTGTACGAAACCCTGAATCTTGAAGCTGTTATATAGCGACTTCATGCCGTTTTCATCATGTGACCAAGTATTAGATATGCCGTTTTGATCATGTGACCAGGTATTAGATATGCCGTTTTGATCATGTGACCAGGTATTAGATATGCCGTTTTCATCATGTGACCAGGGATTACCGACATTTCTAATTGACTAGTTAAAAACTGCTCGAACGTTTGTTCGGTTGAAGTTTTTCTTTTCTTTTTTTTTCCCCTTCTTTTTTGTTTTTGTTTTAGGAAATACTTTCTCACTGTTACCAATTTAAGCGGCAGCCATTTTCTTGTAGCATATGGTCCGACTTTATATACAATTTTTACAATTTTTGTATACTGACGAAACTGCCACATAAACAAGCGCGTGCAATCTACAAAATAATCAAAGTATACATAAAATATTTGTGTTAAGGTATGCCTTAAAATAAAGTGATCCTCAGTAATAAGTTGAAAGTATATGTCTCTGCATGAATTCTCTGGTCATCTGTTAGTGTCAGTTATACCAAAAACAAATCTATATCGTACCGAATCAACGAATGTGAACTTCAATGTGAAGGTTCCTTGTCTGGTCACTCGAACTGACCGTGTGACCACATAACCTCGAGCTATCTGGAGAAAGAACTTAGAACAACAATTAAAGAGCTATATTCAAGTTGAGTTGCTTTAATTATAGATAAAATCCGTTGAATTGAATGTGAAATAGTATGATAAAGTTCCTTTAATCCATCCCAATATCACACGTCGGTAGAACTGAAAACATATGAGGCAAAACCAACACAAGCACAAGTACGTGGACGTAAAAACTTCAGTATAGAAATTAGCAGCTACATATTATTCAAGATATATGTCTTTGGAAAGCCAAGTTGCTACGAAAAATATATCTAACTCGTCAAAATTTACATGCAAGTTATTTCGACATTTCAAATTATGTCGACATGTTTAAAACATATCTCGAAATACTTAATATGTGAGTCGTACGTGGGTATAACCTTATGTAATATATTGAACCTGGACAAAATTCTTACGTTGAAATTTCCTTACATATAGTGTAAATATATTGAACATTACTGATTAATCAAGGTAAACAAATTGTCTGTTATATTTCTCACGCTTGATGGATAATGTATACGCCTCGAAAACCCTCGAATTTCGAAGTTGACAAGAATGAAATTGTCCTTGCTTTCAGCTACAATCAACATACGTAGCCAACTGTACTCACTGTATGTCAGATGTCTTTCATTAGAACATTGTGACGCGTTCCCAGATTTCTGTGCGTCAGTCCAATTCATGCGTGTCATCATAAACATTTTTATTCCCTTTCTTTTACGTTCTAACCAAAGCAAAATTAAACATAAATGCTATCAGTAGAGATTTCATGGCTTTAAACCGTGAAAGTAGCATATACTGTTAATATCGTAACAAGTACATAATGTCCATATATAGACTTTGTGATAATGGACGAAATCGTATCCCCGTGGGCACTAGTTTCGACATTGACAACTGCGACATGCTTGCTTTCCTAAATTAAACAACCTTGAAGTATATATGATATACATAACAAAGATCATAATGAAGGATTTAAAAGGATTTGAAGATCTATGAAAACGAGACTATTATAAAGCCTTAAAGTATCAAGAAAGAGTATGACTATTCCACATTACCCTGCTTAAAAGTAAGACAAGAAAGTATTACAACTCTTTTACTATATTAGATCATTTAGAATTATTGAACATAAAGCAAGTATGAATGCTGACGTTTGAAATACTGATACAGCCACCGAACATGGTACATTTTGTGTACCGAGTGGTATCCCTAGGCCAATTATGTACAACCAGTACTGTCAGTATTAGTAGTTGATTCATGTAAAGACGAGACAGGTGGCTGGGTAGATCACCGCAGGCCAAACAGACTAACACGATTTCACAATTCTAAATGGTAGATAAACAATGTAGATTGAATTCAGGATAAACACTGATATTTTTAGTTTAATTGAAGATGACACATGTTGGCTTCGAACATTTAAAAACCGACGTGAGCACTATCATTTCTTCACTTTGGAGACAATGTTGTCCGTACGGTGGTTGTTGGTGGCGCTTGTAATTGTGAGGACTAGCGCAATATGTCCTCACTCTATTGCAGGGCTAAAGAAATGGTCAGAGTCATCTACTTGGCAAGATGGTGTAAGCATGATTTTTTTTATTCATTCTCAAACTGGCGCATAAAATAGCAACGGTGTATTCGAACCAGTTCTAATTCTTTTAGTCAAAATGTAGCTGTGCATCATATCTGAGTTATTTAATTCTGTTACGATATTGTTATCGAAGATAAGCCAATGTCGATTCAGCAGAGGAACATTAGAAAACCCGTAGAATTATTGGTTACAGTATAATGGTTACAGTGTTTGACCCAATTGCTATCAGACTGAGCAAAATAATTTTGCAGTATATAACCAGTGATGTGGTTTGGGAACGGTAAACATCATTTCCAATACTATCTTAACAATAGTTTGTAGTTGTTTAAACATTTCTTAATTAATATTTTAAAAATAGGTAAACCCTTTCCTTAGAAGAAAACTAGTTTTTTAAAACTAAATTATACAAGCGCGGTAGTAAAGAAATGTTGTATTTTTCTTCTCAAGATCCCAGAGGAAGGTGAGGACGTTACAATAAGCACTCCTATTTTACTGGATGAAAGTCCTGGAGTAGATTTGAATAGCATAACGATAGTATCAGGCGGCCAGCTGGTGTTTGCTCCAGACAGCGACTTAGTTCTGCGGACATGTTACATTCATATTGATGGAGGACGCCTAGACATAGGATCCGAGACTTGTCGCTATACAGGCAATGCGAAGATTCAACTTCTCGGTAAGTACTGACTCATACAATATAATTCTAACATAAATGTTATTCCCACCACAATCTTTCGGTAAGCTAGGAATTCTTCTCACACATGTGTTCCAAAATTCTACAAGTTTCTTGATTTTCAATTCAAAAACATATATTTTAGGCTCAAGACTTCTTGGATAGACAAAACTTTTAGGATAGTCTGAAAACATTTAAGTAGAGAAATTATTCTTGGATGTAGGAATTAGTGAAATAAGATAACCCACAAAACCCCTAAAAATTCCATCACGAAATAATTAACGACTCTGCAGGTATCTAATATATAATAAAGGTGTTAATAATAAATGTCTTATGTACAATATTTATAAGTTCATCTTTTTTTTTTAATCCGGAAACATGCCTTTCCAGGGAACGTAAATGATACCTATACAGTCCCAGGATTTGGACGGAAGTTTATTGGAGTCAATTTCGACGGAACGTTGGAAATACATGGAACGGAGAAACTACCATGGACAAAAATATCAAGCACGCTGGAAAAACTGGGAGAAGACGCTTTCACGTCTAGAGATGTGGTAATGGAATAAGTAATCCCTCATAACAAGAACGTATTCAGATATCTTAACCTTTGTCTATGTATTTGATTATCTATATAATTCATATTATCTTCCCAGCGTACTTGAATAAGTTTCGTATGACATGATATAGGATGATTGTTTAACATAGTTGATAATTTCGATAGTTCATTTAAGATATTTTGAATATATAAAATATTTGAGATAATACCATTACTCGTAATACGTTACACAAATACAGATAAAAGCGGGATATTAACAAGGCACTGTCACCAACATGGGGAATTTGATTAATCAAAAACCAGAACGAAGACAAAATGCAGTGAAATGCATAATATCAATAGGTAACGCGGACGTGATAATTTGCTTTCCAATGAAATTCATATTTGGAAACGTAATTTAAAAATAATTATGAAATATTGTAATCAATTCCAGTCTCAGTTTTGGGTATTTTATCTACTGACAAACTGTCTGTCATATTATTGATGTTTTACACTACATGTTTATCTCTTGAAGATCAACAACATACTAAAAACATAGGAAATTACTCCAAACTTTGCTTTTCAAAATGACCAGCACAGGTGCATTGAATTTTCCAAAAAAGAAAAAAAAAAAGAAAAATCAGAGACAAAAAAGGCAAAATAAAAGGTTTTAGAAACTAATAAGCTTTGTGTTAAAAAATCATACGAAGAAGTTGACTTTTGTCAGCAGACTAAATTGTTGTCTTTGAGATCAGATGCCAACGTCAGATTACCAGTTAGATTGACTAATAGAGCAGGTAGCTCCTCGATGAATTTTGTGAAGAGAAGAAATATTTGATTTTCTTAACATATTGTTCCGTCTTCCATGGTAAACATATGGTTATGGTAACTCTTACGTTTGGCTTCAACAGATAAACAAGGAAGACAATATCAAGGGCCTGATTGTTAAATCTTATGATCCGGCGACAGGAACAGAGGATAGAAATCAAGGTGTCTTTCATCTAGGCTCATCTAACGAGAAGAGCGTGACAAAGGCAACCGATGCGTTCATCACTTATGTTGACGGTGAGTCTACATACCGTAAAAGCTTTTCTTTGGGTTTTTATTATCAATTGATTTTGTGATTTCACTTAATTCACGAATATTTATGTCTAGGAAATGATAACAGATTAAAATTACCTGAATCATAGTGTATGTGGATTTCATGATAACAATTTGTCCACGAAATTGTGCCAACGAAATTACATATTTTGTTAAATCACGAAAGCTACCAAATACATATATCAGAACTACAAATAAACAATCTACAAGGAGACAAGTACTGTTTACTGTGTTAACTAAGAGACGAAGTCTCCAAGAGAAGCTTTATTCTCTCATCAGGCTACGGACCAGTCCCTAAATGTCACGTAATTGATATATCAAAAAATTTATTATATTTATAATTATAAAGATATATTGATTACCATTAGATATTAACATTGCTAATGAAGATACTTTAGATAAAAACAAAACTATCTATCGTTTAAGGTATACCGGATGGGAACATAGTGGCCATTGCTGTACGCAAATTTATCGTGGACAGGGAAAATGCCGTGGACAGATCACGATTTTATGACGCTCTGGAGACGCTTGGTTACGGAAATGTGACAGGAGAAAGTAAAATAAGGGATTTAGTGTTTTATGATGGATTCGCCATGATCTTGACGAAAGGTTTGTATTTTTACATATTTTTAAGCTCTAACAATAAATATCTTACAACGGATACGATAACCATCAAGGTTTTCAAATTTTGCAACATTATTGTTTAGTAAAGACTGGACAAAAGGCACACAAGTGAATAACACTTTTTATAACTAAACAAAGAATTAAACTGCACCGTCCATATGGTCCGTCCTCCAAGGACTCGTCAGTGATGCTACATCATACAGCTGTTCCGTCCTCCTGCTTAGGGTCTAAATTGTAAACCTAGACAGTGACTAAGGAAAGTCCAAAGTAATCGATAAAAAGATGTCAAAATCTGGATTGGGAGGTTCACTATCCCGTTAATCAGTATTTTTAAAAGACCACAAAGTACATATGTATATTCTGAGCCGTGGCATTATTCGTATGAATAAATATCTGCCATGAATTTCCCTAAACAGAAAAAATGTCACGTTCGAGGTTGATCAGTGGACTGTGAAAAAGATAACAATTTATATGATTTCCATTGTCAATAACTAATATATATATGTATATATGGTTTCGGTTGATAAATATAGATATAGATAGTACCTCACCTGTATGCTTTTCTTCACAGGTGACCCAACAAAGACTGTAGAGGGATTTGAGCCTTACAAAGTAGGAGGTATTCACCAGACGTCTACAGCGTCATACATTTCTGAAGAATCAAACCTGAAATACTTCGTATTCAGCTACACCAGATCTAGAGGGTTCGGCAAATCATTTGTCGAATTCCAGGTCACACACGTTGCACAATCGTGTCCCATCATTGATGTCATTGATGACGTCACGTCATGGAAATCAGGTGGGTTATTGTTTGACATGTTTTATGTATAGCTATGATTACCAATCTTTGGTCTTTAATCTGTAAAAAAAAATATGATATGCGAATGGATCTAGATTGTTTTCCCTTTTTCTGTGTAAAAATAACCATGTATTCTTACTAGCTAAAGTCACAACTACTCATATTGACCGAATTTATAGTCATCGCTTCATCTATCATATTTTTTACCAAACAAAAAGGAAAGTTAAGAAAATGCTAAAGAAAACGTCCTTGCTTTTGGCAGATATCCTTCTATCGTAAGTGTTCGAACCAACGAGAACGTTGAATAAATTATATTTCCCACATTTATATGTATTAAGCAGTCAAAGTTTAGAAATCCGGCCGTGATATTGGAAATGTGTAATATGAATATATCGATGGTATATAAAGGTGACCGTGTCATCGTCACATCTACTGATTATGACTGGGAACAAGTGGAAGTTGGCAAAGTGATGGACTGTGACGAGTGTGATAGTAAACAGGTCAAGATCGACCGTAAGTGTGTTTCAGCATTTCAGTATATCACGCATTTTTTAAAATATATTCCATACTTTGTTCTAGTTGATTCGAAATTAAGTTTGAATTTGGATTTTGTTGACGTGTCTGTATTTCCGTCATTCTTTATCAACAGCTTACAATACAAGGTTTACTCTTTCTTACATTTTAATATCCCTTTCATCGTAGATAAATGTAAATTAGATTTCAACTTATGATTGACAGTATCTCCGAAATTCACCCATTACGGAAAAATCTACAAGAATGTTGACATGCGAGCTGAAGTTGCTGTTCTTACCAGGAATGTGGTTATCGAAGGTATGATGGTGGATTTTGCAGACGAATTTGGCGGCCATATAAAGGTAAATCTGAAGGTTTTCTGACGATGTTAAGTTAAAAGATTGTTTGGCAGTCATATTTGATATTATTAAGGCAAAGAGAAAATATTTTAGGCCACATTTATAAATTTGGTTATCTTGGTGATCATACATCTAGCAAATTTGAAAACAGTTGAACGAGATGGTAATACATGTTCAGTCAATGGCATGAATAAGGAATTGAGATGGTACTCAAATAGATTTTAAGGAACGATATCGTAAGTCGTGATAAGATAACTTCGGCATTTGATCACGCTCAGATGACGAGTAAAAGGACAAATTTTACCAAAACAATAAAACATCTATTGTACATTTCAAAGATGATGCTTTATTTGTTAACAAAGTTATGAATAATTAACCACCAAAACAAAGTCTTTTTATACAACTATTAATCTTTTTACAATGCCAATAGGCGATCAAAAATTACAAAACTTTTGCTTTTAGGCTCTCAAGGGATTCAAGAACTTCCACATTGAGTACGCGGAACTTGTTCATATGGGACAATCTGCATCCAAAGGTATAGTGCCGTTCACCGAAGAATCCATTCTTGATAAATGTTTATATTTTCAGATTAGGCAACATTACAATAATTCCAAAAAGATAATTTTCATTTATCATTGAAGGTAACTATCCAATACACTGGCATCTCTGTGAGGATGTCCGTGACCCAGATGATTACCCCTCCCCTACATATGCACGAGGAAACGCAATCCACCAAACGTACGCAAGATGTGTTACTGTTCATGGTACACATGGTGCTAAGGTAAGAAATTGATGCAGCACGCAAAGTTTCCTATCCTTTACACACTGCTCTGGTATAACAAATGGATATATGAAGCTAATACAAGTAAACTCCAACAAGGAATATCCGAAAATGAAATTGCACTGGGCAATACCATGGTGCAATACCAGGACGATGTCGGACGATATCTCCAGTCATGTTTGTCTGTAATATACCCATAGATCACGAGAGTAACATATGCTTAATCTTAATCCACTTATTGACATATTCGTGTTTTACTTTTTTTTTGTACACAACACCAGAGTAAACATGCCAGTGCTTTCTAATACTGTCATTCTGTATTTACAAGTTTGATTTTCACCAGGGTGTGTTTTGTATAATATGATAAACCTATTCCTGTTCATATGCTTACACTGCTGCCTTTATCCACACGTGATAACTTTTCTTTGCCTGTTTTGTGGTTAGTGATCTTCCTCCCATAGTTTCACTTGCGTTGCAACTTCGTTATGGTACACTCTTTATTCTAATCTGAGCTTTTTAAATTAAAATTCTGTGAGGTATACTTAACATGCTGACATTAAATGTCTGATTTTTGTATCATTATTCATCACGATGTAATAATGTGCTGGCAATTTAAGGTATATATACTTTGTGTGTATATATATACATATATTTATTGGTATATAATGTTTATTGCTGATAATGTTGCAGGTGATGGATAATGTCTGTTTCGACAGCATCGGTCACGGCTTCTTTCTGGAAGACGGAGGCGAGAAATGGACAACTATTACCGGTAATCTTGGTGCCGGTCAATTGTTCGGCGAGCTTATAGACACTGACAACATGTATGTATTACTTACATATACGAATGAATTTTCAGTTTTTTATCAGATCGTGTAAATACGACTTGAGCGAATGCTTTCCAGATATAATAAATACATTATATTAGGATATCTATTTCATGGTTTGTTCCACAGACCATTAATTCAAAACATTCAAAATCCCGATTATAGAGTATCAAATATTTTCGTAAGATGTAATTCAGTGTCATCGATGTTTCAGGAAACCCACTACTTTCTGGATTACTAACCCCCTGACCGTGCTAGAGAATAACGTAGCGGCCGGTGGACAAGTAAGGACCAGTTTAAAACTATAAAGATGATAAACGATATATCGAAATAACTTCTCGAACTTTCAGTTGTAAAATATTTAGTGGTCGATATTTTGTTGACCTTCTAAAATTGTTCGTCGTTAGCACCTACATTAATTAATTCGCTGACCTAGTACCGTAAGGACTTTTAATTATGTTTTCCATTTCGCTTTGATCCAGGGAATAGGTATATGGTACGTTTTTCCTGAGGAGCCCATGGGACCATCAACGAAAAAGAATTACATGCAATATGGGGAAGCCCAGCAAACAGCAATCACCAAGTTTGATAATAACGTCGCACACTCTAATAGGCTTGTGAGTATAGATAGCCATTTGTACGATATGAAGCTGGGCGTTTTTTATTCTCGTCAGATTACTTGTTGGTTCCGTTGTACGATATGAAGCTGGACGTTTTAGATTCTCGTCAGATTTCTTGTTAGTTCCGTTGTACGATATGAAGCTGGACGTTTTTTATTCTCGTCAGATTACTTGTTGGTTCCGTTGTACGATATGAAGCTGGACGTTTTTTATTCTCGTCAGATTACTTGTTGGTTCCGTTGTACGATATGAAGCTGGACGTTTTAGATTCTCGTCAGATTACTTGTTAGTTCCGTTGTACGATATGAAGCTGGACGTTTTTTTATTCTCGTCAGATTACTTGTTGGTTCCGTTATACGATATGAAGCTGGACGTTTTTTATTCTCGTCAGATTACTTGTTGGTTCCGTTGTACGATATGAAGCTGGACGTTTTCGATTCTCGTCAGATTACTTGTTGGTTCCGTTGTACGATATGAAGCTGGACGTTTTTTATTCTCGTCAGATTACTTGTTGGTTCCGTTGTACGATATGAAGCTGGACGTTTTCGATTCTCGTCAGATTACTTGTTGGTTCCGTTGTACGATATGAAGCTGGACGTTTTTTATTCTCGTCAGATTACTTGTTGGTTCCGTTGTACGATATGAAGCTGGACGTTTTCGATTCTCGTCAGATTACTTGTTGGTTCCGTTATACGATATGAAGCTGGACGTTTTTTATTCTCGTCAGATTACTTGTTGGTTCCGTTGTACGATATGAAGCTGGACGTTTTTTATTCTCGTCAGATTACTTGTTGGTTCCGTTGTACGATATGAAGCTGGACGTTTTTTATTCTCGTCAGATTACTTGTTGGTTCCGTTGTACGATATGAAGCTGGACGTTTTCGATTCTCGTCAGATTACTTGTTGGTTCCGTTATACGATATGAAGCTGGACGTTTTTTATTCTCGTCAGATTACTTGTTGGTTCCGTTGTACGATATGAAGCTGGACGTTTTCGATTCTCGTCAGATTACTTGTTGGTTCCGTTGTACGATATGAAGCTTGACGTTTTCGATTCTCGTCAGATTTCTTGTTGGTTCCGTTGTACGATATGAAGCTGGACGTTTTTTATTCTCGTCAGATTACTTGTTGGTTCCGTTGTACGATATGAAGCTGGACGTTTTCGATTCTCGTCAGATTACTTGTTGGTTCCGTTGTACGATATGAAGCTTGACGTTTTCGATTCTCGTCAGATAACTTAAACAATATTTACATGACGGGTGTCATCGACTAAGAAGAAGACGCTTATTCTTCCTTTACAACTGGTCTTACTCTCCTTATATTGTTTTTGTCATGGGTGTCCATGTGAATCTTTCTTTGATACAAATCTTGCCTCAGTGTTATTGAATTTCCGTTAGGATTATAATTATATTCACATGTTGGCATTTTCTTCTTGTTTACATGACAAAGCGCTGAAACCTCTGTCGTGCGTTTGTATAATATGATAGTCTGTTAAAGTTCATTTTGATTCGTGGTGTCCATTTCTGTAGTTTTCATGTACCATCGCAGTGCACTTGCATCTCATGGTCTCGGTACATACGATTAAAACAGCATATACACAAGATATGGCAAAGACGTGAAACCCAGAATTAGATAATACAAATAAGAAAAATGTTATGTGGAAAAGACAGAGATCAATTCTATGAAAGATATATTTTATAAGCATATATTTTAAAAAATGAATGTTACACCTAATAGGTATGTCGTGTACCTGAGTTGTTTTGTTGCTGGATTTACAGCTTTATAAAAGTCATTTTGAGGTAATGTCTCCCTGTAGTAGCTGGTCGACACATACAAGAGAGTTTCAAAGCTATATCTATATATATCTCATATTTAAGGACGGTTTGAGATTTGACGATAGATTGGATGAGAACGGGACTGTTATGCATAACAACCAGTATACACCATTGGTGACTCCCCTGGACATCGATTCCGAGGAACAACTAGTAGAATTTAGCAGAATAACAGGTGAGGAACCGGATATCTTTTACTTGTATAGAAATGTTTATGATATTCTAGGAGTATACATGCTTCATGTATAAGGTTCTATAATTCATATGATTGAAAGGCGAATGACAATGCTGCTCATATCATTAACACTATCAATTACCAAATTATTCATTATACTTTGGTCTCGTATATACAATTATTATCAAATAAATAAATCATTTTTTAATCTGTGTGCATAATAGCAATATTTGTATTATTCTGAGAAAAGTCAAATAAGATTTTGTGTTTTGGAATCTTTCTAATTGTGTGACAGGGCAACAAGTAGAATAAAATATTGCAAAATATATTTTTTTTCGAATAATCATGTGAATATTGCTAAAGCATAAATGCTTGTTAATTTTGTTTGCCTGTGATTAGCATATAAGAACAGCAGGAATAACGCTTTGTTGAGAGGAGGATACATCCAAGTAAAAGATTCCTCGTAAGTAACAGTAAATACAAGTTTGATTAAATGGTATCAAGTCGTGGAGCTATAATTGTTGCATCAAACCAATTCTTTCTTGTTCTTAAGCAATGGGAACGACAAGGGAACTGAGTTATAAAGAGTAATAGCATCTCTTAGTTAACACTAAGGAGCAAAACGTTAATATGACGGAGTAAAGCATTGGGGAAGGGAATATACTTACCTTAAAAAATATGACGTACACATTTTCAACATGCATTCAACAATGTATAAATCTGTCATGGTATGGAAAAGCATTTTATCTTACATTGTTCATGTATTAATAATTTTTTGTCATTGACTTTTTTCAAGGTTTTCGGACAGCCCTAAAGGTCTAGTGTTAAGGAGGTATAGTATGGTTATACTAAAACAATATTTCTGTTATTAAATTCCCGTCTCTAAGATATGGGTCCCCTATAGTAATTAGGTTGTCTTCTTGTGGGTTGCATTCACGGTTCATTCTATCAAGAGAACTGAATCTATTTTTAAAAAATCGTTTACCCATAACTATTTACTGAACGTAAGTGCCTTTTACCGACGGAATGAACATATACGATGTCAAAGTTAAATCTAAATTATTCAAGGGATAAACATTTTGTTATAATATCAGGAAGCAAAGTTAAACATTTTTAAAAGTGAAATTTCCAGACTATAGGCCAAATGGCTAGGTCAAATTTTGAACATTCTTGTGGTATATACTTTGCTAAGAAATTATAAACCGAAATTGACCAGAATCAAAGAGAAGTCGCCTGACGACAGGTGAAGTTCACAAGTGGAAATATCATATTTTGAATATCTTATTAATATTTTGTTGTGGCAAAACCAATGTAGGAAGCGTCGTAACAAAGTTCAACGTCACTAGATTTAAAGTCAGCGTCACACTTCAGTAAGATTACTCGTTTTTTACTTCGCCATGACACTATGAGTCAGAATGATTAAATTGAAACAAGAAAACTTATGATAACGTCGATTTCAGTATTAGTATTTTATTTCTTAACTTTATTTCAATTTCATTAATCAGAAATGCAGTAGGAGTATATAAGCAGATTTGAAAAGTTGATCCGTTCACAACTTACAATTAATTACTACTTAAAATGTACAATTAAAATATTAATAAACCTATATCCACGTTGTGATGAAATGTATATAGAAAATATCAGATATGTTTTGCATTCAGCGCAACATAATGCTATTTCGTCTATCAAGGACTGGTCAGTGACTCTAACCGCCTAATTCGTATGACCGAGATGGCAACTATGGTGAATCAACATCGGTCGAAGGAAATGTCAAAAACCAAACTGGGAGGTCACTCACAACCAAATACAATAGATATCAACGAGACAAAATTGTTTTAGTAACGAAATTATAAAAACATAATTATATCATCAATACAATAATAAATGATCAAATTGTGTACTCCAAATTGACCGTTTATCTGAATCACTGAATATAGTTTTACCATTCTCTAAAAATTGTCAACGTTTTCTTTAGATATACCGCTGGACAGTCGGTGGTAAACTCGGTGTTTGTAGGAGATTCTGACAACAAAGGGGAACCTGTAGGACTACTTGACAGGTCGCTTCCAAATCTGGATCAACCGTAAGACTCTATTTCATTAACAGCTGCTCGATATTGTTGTCTGGCGACGGATTTGATATAACTGGGACCATCGTTGATAATGTTTATGGGATCCCACATACGTAAATTTCACAAAGAACGAAAGCAGGATCATGTTGATTTATGATTTAGACGATTTTTGCAGAAAACATTGTTTCTCCATAAATGTTATATTGGCTCTTTATCTGCAGTCTTCGTTGTAACTGACGTCACGATATCATTTGCTAGTGTGTAAGGTCGCTTCATTATGTTCAACTGACAGTACCGTAGGCCATTTAATATGTTTTATACGCCAAGATATTAACAAGGAAATGTTTGATATAGAGAAAGATATTTTTTCTCATTCATTCTATAGTTTTAAGATTGATACTTCTTGCTACAAGAGTTCAATCTCCGTTTATACGAATTCAGGGACGCACCTCGTTTGGGTTTGGTGATCGGAGGTGGACCGCTTCTAGCTGATGACTTGTGGTTTGGAGACTATCGAAATAACGCGCCCTATCCAGTAGGCGCAGTATCCTTCACACGTAATCCATTTCAGTTCAGGTCCTCTCAGAACACTTTACGAAATGTTGGCTTCGGATTCGATGACGTAAGTGCTTTAAAAGACTTTTAGATAATCATGGACGATGAATTCTAAACTTGCGTAATTTGGAATTGCAGTTTTTTCCCCATTTGCAAGATATTTCATTAAATTAATTATCTTTTAAATGGGAATATGGTAACAGAATAAGCAGTGCCTCTCCCTTGCGTTACTGACTTTAATGTACCTTGTCATATGAATCACATGTCATGTCATTAGTTGACGTTAATAATAGCTGTGATTATTTTATAAGGATTCTGAAGGAAATAGAATCCTTCAAACGGAGTCAATCACACAGGAGACCGAAGACAGAGTCAGAGTGGACATTTTCTACGATGAAAGTGGCGATATTACGTCCATTCCAGGTGCCAGTGTTGTCCGTCCTTTAGATTTCCAGATGACCTCTAATTGTGCAGTAAGAGATTCTTGGGCAATGGCAGTTTGTGATGAAGAATATGCACAGGTGAGGTCAAAATATGCTTGCGTCTCAGTGAGTTCCAAGCAATTTTGGCGTGTTTATTTAGTTGTTAGGGCGTACAATGTTACACAATATGCTTTATTCGACAACAGTTTCACTTAATAGGAAGTAACGGACGGTTCATATTTATGTGTACAATTAGATTCCATTTAAAACATTATTTATACCATGATATTTTAGCTGCAGTTGTGATATAAAAAAATCGTCTTTGCAAAGCCACGCACCAAGGTAACAGTGTCCTTTTTAGTACTAACGTGTGTTATTTCATCTCTAGCTTGCGATCAGGGCTGAAAAGGACGAGACCGTGACATTGATGAGATCTGATGACGTCACGAACCTCAGGCAAACATCAGACGACGAAGGTTCTGTGTCAGCTTTCAACGTCATCTTAGGAGGATTCTACATGTACTTAGCAAAGTTCAATTACGACATAGCAGACAGCTTTTCACTAGCTGGTCTTGGCCTTGACAAGTACGTGGTAATCTTTACAATTATTTTACTGAACTATCAAGATGCTTAATGGTGATCCACCGAAAAAAAGGGGAAAGGGGACCCAGAAAGGGACCAAGAAAGGGGACACCCCGCCCCCTAGAAGAAAAAAACACAAACCAGGATATCTCCGATTCACAAACACAAATTTACTTCAGATAATTTTAAAGGTCCAAACACGTATTTTTCGTGGCGTAAAAGCATCTTTTGTTACAGTGTTTTACTTTATTATTAATATTCAAAATGCTACTTTTGATATGGAGAATATTTATCCTTTTGCACTACATAGGGGTAACGACATCATTGTTGGCGTGTGTGTTCCAAAGGACATGACATTCAAGCTCGTCTATAAAACTCCTGAACGCAAGAAAGGATCATCCGTAGACAGCTTATCTGCATTAAAGTCGGACACCACTGGGTCAAAATACTTTTTCGATGACGAAGTTGGGTTGGTACATTCTTGATCTGATTATTTCTACTTTTCAAATGTTTATATTTTTCTATATTATTCTACAGATACTGTATCATTCAATTAACGAATGGCTCGGCTAATATGAAGTATTCGTACCATTTGAAAAAAAAATAATGCAGTCTTATTTTGTATCAGAATACCGCTTTGTTGTATATACATTTTTATATGGCCAAGAATGTTCGCTACCAGATCCATCATATTGATGCCATATGTCCTTAGAGTTAACCTCCAGGAACATTTTGCACACTGTATTATCATCACAAACATTTTTATTGTGGTTAATGGTTGATGAGGAATGTGGAGAAAGGTCTTTGGTAGGATTTCATCGCCTGAATCCTTTTTCTGTATAAAGTTCTGTAATAAGTCAATTCTGTTCACGTGTCAGTATTTTCATCTTGATTTTTACGCCAACTAACAATTGCACAATTGACTAACACAGTTACATTTTCATATGATAACACCAGTTACCTAGACACTACTTACTACCACGTACCGCTGCATGCATCTAGTAATAAGGTTAAATACATTTCAATACAAATTTTGACCTGTTGTGTCGAATGATAACTTGGCAAATTGATTCTCTTGACATTTTAGAATTGTTCTTGATTTTTTGTTCACAAACATTTACATTTTTATCATCATTTCCACATATAATATATTTTCCATTATAGCGTGATATTCGTGAAAATAATGACAACAGAGACGTTCTCGACTACAACACTAAGACTAAGAAATTGTCCAAACGGAAAGTGTCCAACTGCCGTTATAAAAAATATTGTGACTGATGACCGGTCGGACACGGATTGTGTGGCAGCATATAAAACCAAATACGGATCTGTGGTAATTAGCGGCGTAATTAGGTCAACGCATCATAATAGGAATTATTTCTAAATCATTCAATGTAAATAAAGATAATGAATTAAAGATAAATATATTTCACTTGAAAAATATGCTTTATAGGTACTTGTTTTTATTTTCTTCCATAGTTTTAGAGGAACTTGAGAATTGAGAAATAGGTTATTACAAACTTCTTTTGACACAAATCACTATTTTCTCTCAGGCAAACACTCGTCGTAAGTTTGGTTGGAGACGCTCTTTGTCCTTCCCTTCGTCACTGCCGAAGACATCTGTTGATCCTCCTGTGGTATGAATTTCAATAAATCTTTAACTATTTATCATCTGAGTTGTTAAGTTTCCTAAAAAATAGTGAGACATTTTATCAGTATGTACATATCGTGACATGACATAATTGCTGTTGAATTCAAACATGAAAAACTTGTAAAATCAAGTTTTTACTATGCATTTAATATACCAACGTTTCCATAGACATAAGGCAAAGTTTTTTCTACCTTTGGAAAACGTTTATTTATTTGTTTATTCAGTCCATCAAATGAAGCGCAGAAAACTTCAAATTATGTTTTAGTGACGAAAAAACCTCCCTTTTCTAAAAATTGTGGAAGTCAGTCAGTCTGGCAACGGTTGGCGTCTATGTGAAGTAACTATGGCAACAACATTAAACTATTCATATCTGAACAATTTTGTTATATGAAAAACATTGACGTGAAAAATTATCATTAGAGTAAAAGACTTTAAAATGTAGGAACTACAATAGTGTCGGTATCACCAGCACTTACTTTTAAAGCATGTTTAAGTGTTTCATGTACTGTATTAATATAATTTTTTGATTGAGGTAAGTAATTACATTTTCTTCATTTTACAGTCTGTGGGAGCTGGTGCCACCCGTTCTGGTTAGCGGTAACGATGAGACCTGGATAACATACATTTGTATATTGCTGCTTTATTTTATATCTTCTGAGATCTTACCACGATCTGAATAAATCACTGTAAACAGACATTGCCGTTGTTCTTATTTAGTGACAAGTGAAATACATTATGGTACACAAGGACAGAACTTTTAGTGGATAAACTTGACTGAGGACGGACCAAGTTTAAATTTGTTATGTCTTCTCATTTTCGGCCCAAGCTGACATTTGAAAATGCGTGACAATCGATGTGTTCCCACCATTACAGAGAAACAATGCAAGATATACAAAAATAGAATGAAAAAAAAAAAGAAAAAAAAGGCCTCCTCCCAACCCATAGTTATCATAAATTATTTGGAATATCTGAATTCATAATAATGAGAAATTTTATATTTCAACTAATGAGAATGCGAGTGATTTCACCAACATATAGCACGGGAAGAGTTTCCATCATTTCATACTTTAAAAATGCCAAGATCTGTATTATAAACTGAGATAAAGGACAATGAATACAGAAATGTCAGTTTAATAGATTTGTTGAATGACTTTTCTCTCATTAAGCGGGCTTAACGACAAAGTTCCTAGCTATTCCTGCAAGTGAAAACAGCCACCTTGTTCATAAAAACATATTGATTGGATTGATTGGAGTTTGTCCAAATTTGGTCTGAAGCATTCTTAGGTGAAAAGGAATCTGATTTATATTAACTTTCAGTTTCGGCCCCCTTTGATAGGAGGGGCGGGGCCCATTATGGGAATTAATCCGAATTCTTAAAAATCATTCTTCTTCTGTAGGCGTATCTGGATGTTATCCCCGTTTGGCGTAAAGCTTGCGTGGGTGAAGGGAGATCAATTTTGAATAAACGCTGAATCTCAGCCCCCAAGGTCGGGAGGGATGGGATGGGTCTGGGGGTTTGGTGCCAAATAGGGAAGATAGTATGTTTTTTTTAAAAATCATTCTTCTGTTGGAACTGAAGACATCATTGATGAAGAGAACTTTGTTTAGTATAATCAGTGCATATAACACCCTTTGAGAGGAATCGCGGACCTATTACGTGGAAATAGATACAAGTGTTTTAAAATACTTTTCCTTTAGTTTAGATAAATCAATTTCAGTAAAGTAAAAAAAGTGAACGATGAAAGTCCGATGGACCTGTTCTATTCACATCTACTCATCGTTTTCCGTTACATTTTACAATAGACATACTTTCAGTGTCATTCATGGTGTTAGATTATAAGTGCAAAAATAACTGTTCATCACAATTTTAACAGTAATATTGTATGATTTCACGTGGATGTATTCGCTAAAAACACCGCAATCAGGAAATGAAATAATTAATGTTGCTTAATCACAACAAACGTTCTAAAAGGACGCTGATAAATACGATAGCAAAAAACACTAGTATGTCAGCAATGCTTACTTGACAGTTAGTGTGCACTCAAGGATAAAATCTTCACGGGTCAACAAGAAATGTCAAAATTCATAGTAAATTTAATGTTTCCAGTGCAGTGAACTTCATTCTTTCGTGACGATTTTCATTATACAATGATTACAGGTTTTTCTTTTAATTTAAAAAAGTAGCAAATAGAGACAGACGAAGGTACATCTCTCAGTTACTGTAAATATTAATATTTTAGCGAGAACTTTAATGTAGCGATTTTCCAGCTAAATGATTGCCCTAATTTGAGATATCGTTGTTGGTAACACTGTATTTAACAATTAATATGGTTTCGAAAATTGTCATAATTGTGCTAATTTACTAAAGAGTGATAATACGCGAAACTTTGAAATCACTAAATTAATCACGTTTACAGTACGTTTACACAATGACAATCCAAAGCTGGTGGAGGGAATGTTCGACCCTGCAGCGCAAGGAAAAACTCGTGGACATAGTAAAACATTATTTAAAAAACATTGTCATTTGAATTTCAGAAAACGTTATTTTACTCAAAGAATAATCGATACTCAATGGGTAATTTCATCACTTAACATTCATGATTTTGAAAAACACCTAGACTATTTCTGGAAAGATCTTGAACTGAAGTACGATCATACAGCGTCATATATCTAGTCAAATATTATGTTTATGTTAATAATACATTGTATTGATGTGAATACAGAGGCAGAAATGCCTGCGTTCACTATTATCCTATTAAATCCTATTAAAAAACATATGCAATATTGTGGTAAACTAGCACTTTTACTGATGTTACTCGGATCAATTACCGTGACGAATGATGTTACGTACATACATCAATAGCACGGTGTATGTGATATCATGACAATATTTTATAACAAGAATCATTCTTCAACCAACAGCGGATATTATTTTATCGTTTCAACAACAACAATAATTTATGCATGATACTTATTAAGTGCTTATATTACTTTGGTGATATTACGAATGTACATGAAATAAATATGATAAACTTTACATGTAATAAATGATGATGTTACAAGGAACTTATAACCTAAGTCGTAATAACGACATAACTCGTAATAACGAGATAGCTTAAGTCGTGATAACGAATTAGCGTAATCCTTAATAACGTGACATCTTAGGTCGTAATAACGAAATATCTAAAGTCGTAATAACGAGATATCTAAAGTCGTAATAACGAGATAACATAACTCGTAATAACGACATAGCTTAACTCGTAATTATGAGATAACGTACTTAATATGTCGTTATAACGTAACCCGTAAAAATAAGATTAAAAAAAAAATTCTTATGGTACTCGGCGGCTTTCGTAGAAATATGTGTACATTAAGCCGAACACCGGAAAATGTCTGCAATGTTGGCCTGGATACCTAGTATGTAATACTTGTGTATTTGTGACAGTTGCTTCCGTGTTGGAAAGTTATGACAGCTCGTAATAACGACATAACTTGAGTCGTAATAACAAGATGATTTTTTATTTTTCTTACGATGCTAATCGGTTTCGTAGAAATACATGTACATTAAGCCGAATACTGGAAAATGTCTGCAATGTTGGCCTGGATATCTAGTCTGTAATACTTGTGTATTTGTGACAGACGCTTTCGTGTTGGAAAGTTATGACAACGTTTTCTGCTATATATCTATATAATTGATAAAGTACACACGTATATACTAAAATGTGAAGAAACATGGGCGTGGCTTGACCTAATATCGACCAATCATCTTACAAGTCACACGTCCGTTCGGTAGTGTTTATGTCTATAACATTTTGTAGGTGTAAGGCATGTATAATTTGCAAGTTTCATGCATATTTGTGGTCGCGTGATATATCTCATATCGTGAGAAGAATTTTTGTAAATGATATGACAGGTGTAAACATTGCATAATAAAACTGTGTAAAATTAATGATAAAGAATGTTGAATTTTATCAAAACCTTACATTTGAATATCAAATAAGTGGGGAAAAATACTTAATATTGACTACGTGCTCAGGTTGAAAAAGGATTTGTCCACTTCTGTATAGCTTTGGGACACGTAACAGGTATAAAAAAAAAAAAAAAACATCAACAACAACAACAACAACAGGGAAATGTGTCATATTTAATGTACGTACATCCAGTAACGCTATACCACACACTGAGGAATGATTTCTGGGCCGTCCTTATATTGTTTACAACATAGTCTGCTTTGATCAGGACAACACTTGGATACCGTATCAATCAATTTGGTAGTTTGTAAACAAACCATCTCCTTCGTTGAAATAGCGTACGTTATTGTCCACTGTAGTGAGTACATGCAGAAGTACAGAATATTTATAGTTGGTAATGTCAACAACCATGACTTAGGTGGATATGTTTGACTTTATCCCGGGGGATGCTTCACACGTGTCATTGACCTAATTACCTATAAATATGAGGTATAAGGCTTCAACAAAGCAGAAATAAAACAACATTTCATGAGGTAAAGAAGCTCATACGGAACAGTTATTTCCTTTGGTCCCAACAAATTCATACATAAATTACATTGAAACGTAATTCATTTACGATTCTACGTCTGTATTCCGCCGCATTTTAACACATCAACGTTTCGTAGGCAAATTCATATATAGAGCTAAATACGAGAAAGCTGTGAATGTCACCCTCCTAGAGTATTGTACAAAAGAAACACAAATAGATAGACTTTGTTACATAAAGTTAGAATCATATACAGGATATTTTAACAATGACATTAACTGCATCATCAGGTTGTTTCGTCATCGGTAACGCTAAAGGCCTATTCTGTCATTTCTTAGGATGGAAGCGACAAAATAAAAAGAAATGTTGAAACAATAATGAAAAACCAGATGGGGAGGTGCATTAGTAATCGATTAATTTCAATATTGCATGATAAAAAAGACCCACAAAAACAGAAAAATCTTTATAGTAAATATGTACATATCCTTAACCGTGTCACTATTGGCATGACTGTAGTAAAATGAGAAAGCTATTAATTATTTAGAATAACGATTAACTGTTTTTCTTTTCCCTTTATTTAAAGTGTGGAACGCACTCCATTTGGTAATTTGGCGAAACTTATGATTCGAAGTAATATGAAACAGTCTCGATTAGATTTTTGCAATCAAGCCTATACTATATCTATTTCTGAATTTATCTATTTTTATTAACATGATTTAGGAAAAACAGCATGCTGATGACGTGCTGTCCATGAGTCGATCTTGACACGATTCTTCGGTGTGCTTTGAAATTGGCAATAAAGTAAATTGAAAATTAACTCTCCGATCGCTGTAATACAGGTTTTTATATTTATTTATATAAACCGATGTTGATTTATAAGCCTTTACGATTTCATTGACTGATGTAAACCGGTTACAGAAAGCAAGGTGCATAATTTATGGCGAAAATAAGAGAAAATCGACATGACAACAAAACTACAGTAAATTCATAAAACAAAAATATCATAGTGCGAAAAATCAATTACAATAACAAAAAAAATTAACAACTTTATCAATACCAAGTGTCCAAAGAAAGCAAGTGTCTTCTGCTTCATTTACAGCATTCTGTTATGTAAATAATTGAGAAAACAAAGAAATGACATGTTCTCAATTATAATTCGATCTCTGCGTGATAAAAAAAAAAAATCCTGCAAGATGTTACGAAGAAGGTTGTGCAAAAAGTTTACAAAACTTGCATTTTCAAGAATGGTTTATCAATGAATATTTCATTTACGACAGAATTTTTCATAATTGCCTTACTAAATAAATTCTCTTAATTCTCATATTTGTTCCTATTTTGTTTCAGTCAGAGTTTTGTCATGTAACTTATTGAATTTAAAAAATATACGAAGAATAAAAATATCGCAACAACACAAAAATACCTTGAACTTTTCATTAACGGTTGGTTCAGCTCAGTTTGTATCGTTTCGTCAATATTCAAGACGAGATTAATATTTCGTGACAAAATGCGTCATTGTATCTGAAGTGGTAATTAAATCTGTATTTGTTTAACAATCCTGTTTTACAGGTGATGGATTCCATTCCAATCTCGTACAAAAACAAACCACAATTCCATGGCTAACGGACGTATGACTACTCGGTAGGCGTACACAACGCCAATAACAATTTAATGAATTACCCCCCGGGGCAATTTGTCCAGAGAATGACCAGGAAACACGTTCGGCACAGGTACGCACATCACTGATGCTATTTCACTGTGGTTTATACCTGAAGGCATGTGTAAGACTGGATGTGTATCGTGTCGTCAGGATAATGGAATTCAATTATACATCCCAATCACTAAACAAAGGTAATCCAACGCTAATCAGGCTTAAAGATCACCATATAAAGGCAAACTGACCATAGCACTGACCAGTCGATCTTTGGGTGATATCGTGACTGTCGACTCTTACAGAGATATGACTCGAGGAATGGCGGCGTTTGGACGTCTCGTTCTAGTGTCAGTTTTTGTTTCAATATCTAATGCAGCATGTCCAGACAAAGAACCTGGTTTAAAAAACTGGTCCGACCCTGCGACATGGCCAAACGGGGTACGTACAAGTTATTATAAAATATAGTGTTTCGATACCCAATATTTTATATATCATTTATTAAATAGAGGTAATGCCTAACTATCACTATAAAATACGATGTGAATTTTCTCACCCATTATCTACGGAATCTTGCATTGATTTAGATGCATTGGACGCAATTGTTAAGTTACGTATCGTAGTTATACAATTGTACAATGTTAACGCTGTCAGATGCTGAAATAACGGTGGTCTGAAACATTGTATATAGTGCACAAATAATACTATGCTATAACATGGCACATTGTATCTGAGAATATAATCTAAAGAAAAAAAAAGAAGAAAAATACATACATTACCGGAAAAGATAATACTTCACCTCGATACACCTTGTTAACATCGTTATAATATATATTACTGTTTGTCACTTAGGAAATGTCGCGTTAATGATTGTCAAAACAATACTTCTTTCTTATGTACTTCCCAAAGTTTGTATCCTATACAGTTAGTTACATATAAAACCTGGACTGTTAAGAAAGATAATTCTATGACATATAACCCACAACGTCAAACCGTTTATCAACATATAACCTCCTGTGTTAGCAAAATGCCCGCACCGTCATATGAAATATTTGTATATTGTTTGGCTGACTGCCAACAAGATATTGCTGTTTCGACGCATTGCCAGTTGTAAGTACTCTTAGCTTAGAAATTAAATTTGTTTGTTCACCGTCCATATACATCAGTTATCACTACAGACAAATATATAATAATGTGACATAGATGTAACTCTTAACTATTGATTCAACAATTAACATCACTGCAATCTAATTATAGATCATAAGATCAATGTTTAAAGGAAAAAATCTTTAATCAATGAAATATGGCAAGTAGGATTGATAAAAAAAGTAATCAAGTCTCCACCCCTAGAGAGAGAAAAAAACTAAGATTTATTCTAACTATTCATATATTTGTTTTATATGAAATATTTTACGAAGTGAAAGATGTTTCACTGAAGATAAATATTTTAGCTATTGTTCAAAGCTAGAGTATGAAGATATTTTAGAGAAACCATTTTTTTTAAAGATTCCAGGTAATGGTGCTGACGTCATTATTAATGACAAGATAGCCTTAGACGCGAGTCCCGGTGTGGATCTTGGCAGCGTTATGATAGTTACAGGAGGTCAACTGGTATTTTTACCAAACAGGGACCTAATTCTTAGAACGAAATTCATCGGGATAAAAGGCGGACGAATGGACATTGGATCTGAAGATTGTCTTTATGAAGGAAAAGCAACGATTCAGCTACTAGGTATCATATAATTAATTTCTATCTCACTGTAAAGACTATATATATATGTGTTTAAGACGTAAACATCGGAAGCCCCTCGTTGTTTGCTATGATTGTACAGAAGAAACGCACGTGAATAACATCGTTTAATACAAATCCATAATTAGATACAGCACAGCTAAATAATGAATAATGCTGCACCAAACATCACTTTCCTCCTCATCAAGGATGCTACGCTGACAAAAAGAAAGTCCAACTTCAATAAATTTAGTAATTTTCATATATCTGATAATTTTTGAAGTACGTCATATCTATTTGTTTATTTTAAATCGTATTATCATTGGTATGAACTAAAACATAGAATACAGTTTATTTTATACCTTAGAGACAAGTTGTCGTATGGTGATCTGTATAAGAACCCTACCAGTTACATATACTTTTGGTGAGTTTTCACCGGCAAATGTAAATGATAAATGTGGTTAGAAAAGGTGACAAAGAGTCTTTTCTCGTCCAGGATTTTATAAGATGTAATGAACAAGTTTATGTACGAAAATTCATAATGTCGTTACCATATAGTTTGGAACTATATTTCTGCGCGAAAAAATCATTTTGGCGTACGCCATCAGACAAACTTCAGCGTAACATCAAAGTCAGGTAACAAAAGATTGAACAAAAACAGTTGAAGTTTTGATGGTCTAATATTCAGTCAATGTTGGAAGATAAATATAATACATGGTCAGTGTTTTAAGATATATAAGTTGCATTTTGGCTCGGGACAGAAAGATGAAATACAGCTGATATTTTAAGACACTGACCATGTATTCTCTATATATATGTCTGGTATCTAAGTATTAGACATCTACTATGATTCCACATCTTGTGTTCATCACAGCTTTTTTTATACTAGGGACCTCCCAAGATATTTACTCTGTACCTGGATTTGGAAGGAAGTTCCTCGGCGTGGATGTGAATGGTACTCTAGAGATTCATGGCCAAAAAAAGCTTCCGTGGACTAAACTCACAAGCCCTGTACCCAAGTTGACTGATGATGCATACGCCTCTCGTGATGTTGTAAGATATAACATAAATCATATGAATATCATTTCTAAAACCAGTTAATACTTTTTTTTCGTCGTTGTGTTTATTCTTTATAGTAATTATATCTTAATATATAAAGGTAATGCCCGTTTTATTTCTTTGAATACGCTCTACTACCTCTCGAATGGAAAACTAGTCATTTTATTTTGCAGAGATTTGATGAAAGTTCCACAAAAATATCATGTTTTAAAAATGTGAATGCGTAATTAACTATGTTAGCTCTCCTCAAGTCTTTCCTATTCCCTCTATGTATAACTTATTGTATTAAAGGTAGAGAAACACACAACAACGAGAGGTTTCATGGTGAATTCCTACGACCCTCAAACTGGATTTAGGGACAGGCCACGTGGAGAATTTATGATTGGCATGTCTCACCAGAAAGGCATTGAAAGAGAAACCGGAAGATTGATCGACTATGTGAACGGTAATAATTACATTGAAGTAGATGTTGATATAGTCTAATGGAAATATTTTGATATACTCTCAGATTAAATGTTTGTAATAGACAACAGAAAAGTAATCTGGTTTTTAAGAAAATAGATTTGGTAACCATATCAACATTGATCCTTATAACCATCAATATTTATTTAAATACTACAGGAGAAACCCGAACACATGAAGTGTTTTGAAGATTGTTATATATTGTATGTTATATCCCGCATCGATCAAATGCCGCTTAATTATTACTAAATTGAAGGGACCAATATCCCTCCTTCATATAAACTTCTTTCTTATTTTCAGATATTCCCAGTGGCAACGTGATAATGTTAGCCGTTCGAAAATTCATTGTTGACAAGGAAAATATTTTTGACCGAAGTCAGTTTTATGACGCAGTTGAAATATTAGGATATGGAAAGGTTACCGGTACCAGTAAGATCAGGGATCTGCGCTTTTACGACAGTTTTGCCATGATCGTGGTAAAAGGTAAGTCTTGAGCATGTCTATAACAGGTAATGGTGTTTAAACATGCACACCTGTAGGAGGTATATTCAGTTTGTTTAATATCATGTTATTCTTTAGTTGAAACTTTCTATTGAATAATTACACGTAAAATAGTGATACATAGATATGATTCACTACAAGATAGATAAACCAGTTAAATATGTATTTGTTTGCTTTGTAAAATGTATGTTTCACTAAAGGTAGAAAACTTTGAAGCAACAGTAATATGAAAATTCAATATAAAGGATCAATACTGTGGACTAGTCCAGTTTAATCAGTTTAAATGTTTCACCTGCCACATGTCGTTTAATCATGTATTCACGATATTACGGTTAATTACTTTTGGTTTGACAATTTTAGGAGATACGTCCAAGACTGTTGAAGGCTTCGACCCATACAGAGCTGGTGGAATCCACCAAACTTCCACAGCCACACTTCTTTCTGATGATATGCGTCTGAAGTTCTATGTCGAAAGCTACACGCGGTCAGTGGGATTCGGACATTCTAACGCGGTCTTTGAAGTAACGTATGCTGACCGCTCCATTCCTACACTTGATGTCAGTGACAACGTCGCTTCCTGGCAAGCAGGTATTTAAAATGTCGAGATATTAGCAAAATCCTCTCAACATTAGGGCAAGATTATTGTTAACTAGTTAGGAATATTGTAAAAAAATCGTTCTACCTGTGACTGTTTGGGATGAGGAAAACATGTGAAGGTCAATTTCTCAAAAATGGATGGAAAGTTAGCTCAAGATTCAACGTCGTTCACTTTTTTTTCTAATTCTCAGTATGTTCAGCAAGTTAAGTTTTCCAAATTAATTCACATTGACTTTGATGGTATCCCTCTGTAATTGAATTTTGAAAATACTATTCTGTGTGAGCGATCCCTTCGAGTTTGGGTTCCAATAGTACAATGACTTACAATGGTATCGCTCTTCAATTTCGTTTCCCATCGTACCATGTATATACAATTATCATCATTCACTTTGGTTTCCTACAGTATTACTGCTTAACAATCGTACCTACCATAAACACCATCTAAAGGTTAATGTATAGCTCTCCCCTGTGACATTATTTCAATATCGTACCCCATCAGGTACACAATCTAAAGGCACACGGATAACCATCCTCCGTGACATTATTTCAATATCGTGCCCCATCAGGTACACCATCCAAAGGCACATGTATAACTTTCCTTTCTCATATTATTTACCATCGTACCCCACCCCACATTATACCCCTCTAGTTTTCCCCATTCTTGTTTTAGGAATACGTTCCCCACCAGGTACGGGATTAAATATTTTGTTTAAGTTTTGCAAACGTTTACTTAAAATCCATATTTAATACACGAAGTTTTGATGACATTCTCTTATGTTGAAATGTAATATTTCGACTGTTTTTGTCCGATACTGTTAATATATATTGGTCTGTAAAAATAGACCCAGTGTGTCTTTAATCTAATATTTGATATATTTAACTTCATCATTGTTGTAATTGCATGTACTTATTTAGCATGATCATTATGAGATGCAACGACGAAGACAATGATAAATTTTACCAAGTGATATACCCAACGTATGTGTAATGTTACTGAGGATGTATTCATAATGAACAAGCAACTTACTCTGTTCTACCTGATAATTGATTTCAGGTGATAAAATCTTCATTACATCTACGGACTACGATTGGAGGCAGGTCGAGGTGGGCACAGTTTTCCCATGTGACAACTGTAACAACAATCAGATCAAAGTCGACTGTAAGTTGTTATTATGGAGAGGGAAGATCGAAAGTTTTGTGTCTTACATTACCTAACATACTTGTCTCCCTGTAACGACAGGTCCACACCGATGGGTTTGTGCTCTCAATTTAGAACAAGTTCATGGTGATTTTTCTATTGTTGATGTGACTTCTCTATTAGGTATTGTAATATGTTTATATTCATTATGTTAATAGTAACTGCAAAATTCAGTCACTATGGCGCTATCACCAAGAACGTGGACATGCGTGCTGAAGTAGGATTACTTACCAGAAACATCGTCATTGAAGGGGATATGACGAATGGCGACGATCAGCTTGGCGGGCACATCAAGGTGAGCACTGTCAACAAGTATTGAATAAATGAAAAATTCTCTAAGAGATCATATATTCATGGTATAGAAAAGATTCCCAAGAAAGGCACAATTGTGACGATTTGTTGACATACTTCTACCTGTCATATGATTTGATTTATGAAAAGACGTCAGGCACAAACCAATATAACAATATAGTTTATTATCATATACGTACAGGTCTTGAACGGATTCAGAAACTTTCATATCGAGGGCGCAGAATTACGACGTATGGGACAGTCTTTAGAGCTCGGTAAGTGGCTTATGTTAGTTGCTGTAACTGTAAAGAAATCAAGACATCCGATTGTATTTTTTTTGTTTATGACAGAGCGTATAAAATATTTTGTTTCATGTATTCATTCTATTACACTTGCAAATTACATTTCGCAAAGTTGAACGTTTGAAAAAAATAGCTGCAAAATGTTTTGTGGTTTTAAGACTTCATATAGTGAGTTCAAAACCTGCGTTCGAAATGGAGATTTTAAGACTTACATTTAATTAATGTTAACTTAATCAAGTAAACCAAGTAAACAGCTCGAACAACTAATACATCTATATACCTGTCATCTTTAGTATGCTATATTCTTTGGCAGGTAATTACCCTATTCATTGGCATATGTGTGAGGACGTCGACGATATTGAAATCTATCCTAAACCGACATATGCCCGAGAAAACTCCATACACGAATCCTATGCTAGATGTGTAACAGTCCATGCAACACATGGTGCAATGGTAATGAAATGTATAGTATATTATTAAAATTAAATAGTGCCACTGTTAAGAATTTACTCATGTAACAGGATTTTTATCGAAATCCTCCTATAATGAAAGAAAGTGAATCCCCTCACCCACAGTTTATATTTCTTTCCACTAGTTGGGTTTAAAATTCCAATTCTATAGGCCTCTAGCATCACTGACTAGTCCTTGTCTGTCGAAATATCTGTATGGCGCAATGATAAACGTGTCATTTTTACAATCGACTGAATCAAATACTGATAACATACATAATTAACTCATCCGTGCGTAATTATGACAATTTTACTAGTTACATTTTCTTTGCGTTACTCTAGGTTGCGGACAACATTTGTTTCAAAAGCATCGGCCATGGCTATTTCCTTGAAGATGGCGGAGAAAAGAGAACAACCTTTAGGGGCAATCTCGGCGTAGGACAAACTAAAGGCAACCTTGTACCAACAGACGTGTAATATATTCACCTAACCTTTGATTATATATCAAAAGATTGAAATCCGTCTAATACTCACAGTTCAAGAAACGAACACCAAATTGTCATTTCTTGATCTATTCTGATAGTTTCAATAAGTTTTATTTAAGTGTTGTTGATAAAGCAGAAGTGGATCACCCTGGTACATATTTTTGCCGACGTTTCATTTATTTTGAGTTTGCCGTTATCGTTTCGTTGTTTCATTTGAATTTTTTTCCTTTTTTCATCTATCAATTGTTGATGTTAATTAAAAAGCTGATCAAAGAACATGTTTAAGTAAGTCAGATGGCAGTTTGGTATTTCAAACGGATCAAATATATTTGAACAAATGTAATAAAAAAAGACCACTGCATATGCTCGTTTGGCACCTTCACAACTTGTTCTTAAATATTGCAGCCGTCCGACAACTTTCTGGATAACCAACCCACAGACCATCATGGAGAACAATGTGGCAGCTGGAGGAGACGTAAGTCTAATAAGATATTATAGTCTTGTTAATAAAAGAAGAACGTTCACATTTTGAAATCATGTCCCATCCGTGTCCTTTATTTACGACTTCAAAACCAATTCATGTAGCCAAAACATATCTATCGTTGTTTGTTGAACAAATTTGCCACAAATACATGAACACTTATATTTTTCGGGATTTCGAGATATCATATTACAGAAGTTAATAAATAATAAAAATTGTTTTGCTGATCTTGTCCCATTTTTTATCTTAAATATTTTTAACTTGTGGATCACCTGGTCTTATTATCCTTGTACTTTTTCAGGAGTCTCCGTGTTAATATTTCTTTTGTTCATATTTTCCCCTAGTTTTATGGAATTTGAGTTTGAATTATGATTATCATGGCATGTTGGTATTTTCTGATGTTTCTCTTGATTTTCTCGATGTAATAGTGTATTGACCTTGCATTATGCTACTTTTAATAGAAAAAGTGGAGTCAGTATTATTACTAAGCTAATCAATTTGAATATACTTAATTATCTTGAAGGCGAACTTTCCAAATTTATCTCATGTTTATCATTATCATGTATCCTTTTAGGGCTTTGGGATTTGGTACATTTTCCCTGTTGAACCTATTGGTCCATCTAAGGGACGTGGTTACATGCTTCCGGAAGAGGCTAGTCACACTGCAATTACGTGGTTCTACAACAACGTAGTACATTCAAACAGTCTCGTAAGTTATGCATTGTATAACCATCACTAATGCATGTTATTACCTTGCCTTCGTAACTTCAATGTACGACTTAAATCATTAGCCTGTACATACAATATTCGTATAGGTGTTTTAAAAAATTGCATTGACACATTATTTTGGGTTGTGAGAAAAATAAATATATCTTTACTAATTTATGTCAAATTTAAACGAAAAATTAAATTTGATTAGGATTTAGATATTTCAGCAAGCTAGGTGTGCAAAGTACATCACAAATAAGATACTATATACTAAGAGCTGGTATTTGTTCACGTCAATATTATGTAGGTCGGACTCAAGATTGATGATTCTATGGATGAGAATGGCACAAGAGTAACCAACAATAGATACGAGCCATGGAACGACCCTACCGACGAATCATCTGGCAGTAAACAGGTGGAAATAGTTAAGCTGACAGGTAAATAGAAATATTTATCAACCAGAACGAAACAGTAATCGATTATTAGTAAAGTTTTTACTTGTGATAATGTGGTTATCGTCCAAGAATGAAACGTCACTCTTATGATATTTAAGGGCAAGAAAATAATAGTATCACTCCGCATCGATGATGTATTATGTTGAAATATGTCCATAGCATTTGTACCAGGTATAAGTGAAATTTCACATATATATGTATATATATGTGTACGGCAGATATACAATGTATATTTTCGATACCATACAAAGTATGATAAAGTTCTGTTAAATGAAGCTCAATAAAATGCATGTTTTGTCCTTATAGGACTCGTCAGTAGAGGCAATTGCAGAAAATACACGTTTCCTTCGTCTTCGCTATTAACATATTTTATTTTGTTTTCCAGCGTACAAGAATAGATATTTCAACGCCTACATGAGAGGTTTCATAGAGCTCGTCGATTCTTCGTAAGTTAAAATATTTTCATTATCACCGTTATATCAGTGGTAATGATACAAGTATTTAACAACTTAAACACATACCATGTGTTTATAATTATACCGTTTTCTCCGTCGAAGTGAAGTAATCGTCATCAATTACAGAAAAGAAAGAAACGACAAAATCGATACATCATGTTATTACTTGCATTTATTTATAACGATAAAAAATGTTATCTATTTTAGCCTTGCTGATTCTGTTCATGGGCTGCAGATAGTAAGGTTTGTTGAAAATAATCTCCTCCTTATTAAACTAAGTTTTCCTGAGCTCTCCTCTTTAGTATTTTTTTTTTATAAAATGTCAAGAAAACGTCCTTGTTATTTGAAGTGTCTGCACTATATCAATTGAGATTCATATATCATAAGTTATGTTTCCGCTTCCGGCAATTAAACATATTAAGTTAAAAAAAATTGTGTATCTCTTCCATGTTTATTTCTAAGATTGTGTCTTACATTACATAATGTTTTTTTAACGTTTACGGGATATTGAGGTACTTATTTATAGATGTAATTATCAAACGAGTATTTTCATTTTGTCAATAACAGGTGGCGTACAGGAGGACAGAAAGTAACTAACACTGTTATAATAGGGGATTCTGAGAATTTAGGAGAGCCTGATTCCGCAGGGGCGAGTCGGTCTTTACCTAATGCAAACCCTATGGCTGGGTAAGTATTGCGTTACCTGCTGAACAAAGAAAAACAAAGAAATTCCCGAAAAAGTATAAGGAGATTCAGATCAGTAAGTGTCTTTAGCTTTGTCGACGACACACGCCATTTAAACCTTGGTCAATCCAAATAAGTTATGTCAGGTTCACAAATGAGAATAAGGTAGCCAACAAGAAGGGAAGCAACAGGCAAAATAAAGTGCCTCAAACACGTTCATCTTCATATTGCTCATGGAAATAAAATATTTCTCAATGAGTCCACCTTAAAGACAGTTAAACCCCCATAAGGCTTTATCAATCTTTGATTCCTCATTCGCCTCCAAGGCTTCAAAATTGAGATTCTTAGAACCATTGACGAGACTTAGAAGGATGGAACTGCTGTTTAACTCATTGATAAGATAGAAATAGATTATTTCTCAATGAGATCACTGTGACTACTTTATAGCTTCCCCGTAATTTTCATCAACCTGCATCTTTTGATTCCTGTATTACGTGTTAGTCCGTCAATTCACGATGAACGAAAATTGCTATAATGGTAAAAGACCCTTGAATATCGCATAAACTGCCATAGGGTGGGGATACAGGGATATTGCTATCCAGAATTGGAAAATTCCGAGTAAGGAAACTGAAATCATCATACATCTTTGTGGAAATCTATCTTTGATGGTCTCGTTGTGGGTAAAGACTATTTTAAGCGACTGTTGAAGAAGAGTCTTGTCGGGTCGTCGATTCCAATTATATTGGGTGTACAATGTATATGATAGACTTGGTCAATTAAATTCTTGTTTTTTAAAGTCAAGACGTCAACAATATATTTGAAAATGAAATTTAACGACTTTGCAAAGTCTTTGTAACATGTAAGCTCTTCAATAAATTCAACCTTAAAACAAGTCAGACAACAAAGGGACGCAGTCATTTCCCGTAGGTATACTAATAAAATAAGATCCTATCACCAAACTCGACGATGTTGCCAATTAGAAATTTGGTCATTTTTATGATTTTTTTCTCCGTACAATTGGAGTTTTATTTTTGTCTATATTTACGAAATATATTTCAGCATAGTTCACCACCATACATTGTAACGCCGTTTACCTTTCTAAGAAAAGTAAGCTCTAACGTTAGAATGGGGTATGGTGCTGTACAGGATACAAAAATCACCTTTTTATCAGAAAAAAATGTTCTTTAGAATAGAGAGTTGAAGATTGACAGACAGCTTTTGTGAGTTCTTCAAAATCCACACACTATTAATTCCACTAAGCAGTATCACAATAAGACTGTAACCAAGATTTGTTTGTACAAAGAAGAGTGGCTAGTAGTTTTGGCAAGGGTTTGGTTAAACAGCTAGACGAGCAAGCATAAAACTTTGTTTATATGGATTCTTGTGAAGTTTTTGAATGCAATATAAACGGAGGAGGTCCATATCATTATCATTCCTAGGCAATCTAAATAATTCTTATACCGTAGCATCAGTAAAAGCAATGGTTTCGTCTTTGAACAGATCGCATAATGTATAGGCATAAACTAATTTGTTGAAAAGTAACATTGATTTTCATTGAGCTCAATTCCATAAAAATGAAATGGTCAATCTCAACTAGCAAGAACATACGTTATGTATCTCTGTAAGGTCAGACTCCCTATAACTTATTTCTTATAAATTTCAGTATATTACTCATACGATTTTCCCTTTATCATACCATGATACAAAATTGTATATTTATACTTTGAACCGATAAAGTGTAATACAGTATCTTTTTGCGACAGAGTTACCGATCAATATCCATTTATTTATCTATTTCAATTTGGAATCAGATGCATATTGCTCTTGTAAGAATATATTCATCGTTAGATACAGTCATTAAACTTTCAAATGGAACAACGGTAAACGTTTTTATTGTTCAAATTTTCGTGTTGAAAATAAAAGTATTTTCTGATATTCATACAGAATTTGGATTTCTGTATTTTGCGATATCATTCTTCAAGGAATAGAACCCCTTGACGAATACAAGATTATCTTAATCGAACGCAATACTAAATATGTAATAATTATTTGAAGGCCTTTGCCAAGAAAAGGACTGATTTTTGGGATTGGACCAATGATCGTGAAGAACGTCTGGTTCGATGGTTTTGCAGACACAGCTAATGCCGAGTCAGGGGCGCTTGGTTTTCAACCAATTAATGGGATGTACATTTCCACGGATACAGTCTTGGAAGGCATTGGTTTCGGCTTCGATGACGTAAGGCTTATATCTGTTTTTGATAACTTATCATAATAGTTTGTTCATATACTCAATAAAACAAAATGAAGTAGATATCAAAATTATGGATAAAAACAATTAAATAAACCCCTAAAAAATCTCAAAAATCAATGATCGCATTCTAGATTGAACCTTTCACGGTTCCAACCTTAAATAGCACGGGAATCTTCATTTCTTCATTATTCTTGTTTACAGTTGTCCGAGGGAAATCGAGTGTATCAAGGTCCAATTCCTGTAGACTATCGAGACGGCAGTAGAGTTGAACGTTTATTCGATCCTACTGGCTCTATTACCTCTGTACCAGGTGCCACCATTATTAGGTCGAATCCTTTCCAAATGACACCTAAATGTGTGGAGAGAACAAATTGGAGGATGGCTGTCTGCAAAGAAAATTTTGCAATGGTAGTTCTGAGAAAATTTAATAATTTTTTGTTTTGTGACAGGATTTTTATTTTTAAATATGGAAAATGATATATCACTACTTATGCAAATGCTCCCATAACCACTATAGGTAACTATATGTTGTGTGCTTAAAATTGCAGGGGAAGTCTTACTTGTTAACAGAACCGATTGCTATTGCCTACAACTTTATAACAACAAAAGCTGAATACAACTACATGCATTTTTTATGTTTACACAAAGCTAATAGAAGCATCATAAGCTACACTCTCACACTCTATTACCAAACACGACGGTATATAATATTTACACAGTATTTATATATCTACACTATATTACACTATATCCTAGTTAACATATCAGGGATCACAGTCTGTGGCCTTCAATCACTGGTCTCACAACTGGACTTCACAAAGAAAGTGAGAGTTCTAACCTAGATCATATATAGGCGATAATACACCGTATTACATCGTTTATTACACTGAAAACGATGCACATAAGCACATATAAACTATTCTAGCTTTAAATAAACTGAAAAATGAATTAATACTTACCGTGATCTATGTTTCACACTAGTATTACCTCAAACCTGTTTCTCTGTATATTTCAAACCTGTTTTCAAATCTCCTCTATACATGTGTTTTTGTCCTCTACAATACTAAAATAAGTAACCCCACAAGATCACAGGCGCTATTCAAACATTACGTATTTTTAATACTAACATAACGAAGTATGACACTTGGAGTTGCTATCGAAATTTTCTGATGTATCCTGATTGAATGCTTGAAGAAAAATATATATCCTGACTGATGAGGAGGTTTTCAAAATCCTGCATGTTTATTAATTAGCATAGTCATGGTGTAAACACTTGCGGTCTGTTGTCACCTGCCCTGTAACGATCATGTAGCTTGATGTAATCTTGGTTTACGTATCTCTCTTTCGTAGTTGTTTGTTAAATTGGAGACGAAAGACAGTGCAACAATGATGAGGACGGACGATATAAAAACAAATAGGCAGACATCAGATGACATGGGACAAGCTGTGTTCAATGTGGTGACGAGTGGAGCGTATGGTTACCTTCTTAAGTTCAACAAAATTTTACCTAAAGGCACTTTCTCTCTTCGTGGAACGGGCATGGCACCGTAAGTAAATGGTGTAATAAAAAAAATATCGAGGTAGATCAATGTAATATATTGCCCTGTAGCTAAACGAAAAACATGAATACAAGGTAAAAAAAATTGTAAAAATTAAAAACTCCTCCTTGTAGTTCAATTTTGATACCAAGGTAACAGTTATTCTTTTATCAAAAAAATGATTGTAGGGGTCACAGTTTTATGATTGGTGTGTGCGTCCCTAAGGACCTAGTATTCATGGGTATGGTGAGAAAACCTGCACCTGGGAGGATGTCAGAGGTTGACAGCGTTGCGGGTGTTACTTCTGGTGACGGATCCAAGTATTATATTGACCGAGATGTTGGGTATGTATACGTTAATATATATTTGTTTTTGGTACAAAAAGAGTTCTTGTCGTGATAATGTCAACGTCGAGTTTTGTGAAAAATAATGGCGATAACTTACTCAGATTAGCAATCCGCGACAGGAGAATATAATAACATGAACTCATCTATGAACATTAAAAAAATATACAATCAGACAGACAAATTTCGTTAGACTACTTGATGTTATTTTGCATCGAATAAATGTAATGTTTCTGTTCTGCATTTTCGCGATGAATACACAGTAAGTTGAGAAAAGAACAAATTTGTCGGAAATATCTGTCTTTTCTTTATCTGCATATATACTGATGGAAGGTTATCAGAAATACATTTTAGGGTTATCTGATATTGTCCCGTTTCATTTGTGATCCTTTCAGGGTTCTGTTCGTGAAGTTTTCTTACGACAGTGGCAACTCGCTGACAACTGTGATGTTCTTTGTGAAACTGCAAACTTCAAACCGCATGGATGTTGACTGTGAGGCAGCCTACAGTGCTAAATATGGTGCTACACAAACGGTAAGTGTGAAGTGTGTTAGGATTAGAAGTAGAAAGATTATGAAATAATACCGATTATGTCGGTGAGCTTTGGATTTCTTCGCAATTTATGAATATCATGATTTTAATCTAACAATTAACATCAAAATAGTTATATTACAATTAATTTCAATTCTTATATAATGACTAAAATAACTAATTCAAAGCTTTTGCTGCAGTCTCCCATGAAAACAGTACTTTTAATATAATTGGAAACTTTTCCGAGAGATATATCAATAACTTGATTGGAAAAATTGTAACTACAGTATATTCAACGCAAAATCCAATCACTTTCACGATTTTATCTGTATAGATTTGTTTTTTTCACCAACAAAACGAGATAACGTTCGTTGATACTTGCATTTCGGTTAAAATAACTTTCAACTCAATATCATCAAAGTTTTGTCATCAAAATTCAACAAATATTGAATTAAAGAGCGATTCAATTCCGAATCCTGATATCTTGAAGTCAGGTTGATATTTTAGTTCAAAGTTCGATTTTTAAACAATTATTGTGATGGTAGAAATTTAATTTTTATTTTCTTAAATATATATATATATCCAAAATAGTTGTTTTTTTACTTAATGAATATGGAAAGAACCTCAATTACTAAAACGACGCCCCATACAAATGCTGTACTGATCTAGAGTAGTTGTGTAGTAAATCTGCTGATTTTCAAATGCTGTTTTTAAACAATCAATGTCAGTAAGATAGTATCAGTTTTCAATTTATGTTTGCCAACTCAGTCATATTTTACAAAACTTTTGAGGTTAAATGTTGTCACCTGGGAATTCCGTAATTTTATGTAAGCATATTATGAAGTAAGAAAGACAACTATTATTTTAGTGGAAACATCATTCTATAGAAATTGTTGACAGAGTTCGCTTTACTAATGTCTGTTTTACAAAAAATGTGTTACCCAAACAGTGACTTCAGCACTTCTTGTGTATACCTTAAAGACATCTTATTAAAAGAACACAATCAATATGACATCATATAATAGGACACTCGACGTTTTGTGTGTTATCAGGTTGTTGGTCAAAGTCAACTGCAGTTGCCAGCAGAATTGGTTCACTCCTCGCGTACTCCTCCCCAGGTAATGTTTAATTATATGTATCAAAAGTGCATAAATTAGTAGGAACATCATACTTTAATCATTGATAAAATTTATCTAAACTCTCAGTTTGCATGCCATTTAGCAACAATTTAAAACCCTGTCTTGTTTTCCTTATACATGTTGTGCACAAATTCTATTGAATTTGGATTATGTTCACGTGTTGGTATTCCCTTGTTAATTGTGTGGAATTAGAACTGGTCATGTTCTCACTAATAAATTAAAAGATACCTCTTATTAAGGTTATATTCTATTCCGAGGTTAAAACAACTATCAAAATGCACAAATCACAAGTTGATACGTGTGAACTTCTCTCAAAGCAAATCATGGAGGAAGACCTTGTTAGTAATAATTTCTTTTATCCTTTGTCGTATACATGCGGTGGGATTTTTTTTACTTTGGCTCGATTTAAGACTGAATATGCTTAAGTGAATGCCGTAATCTTAATCTCAGTAATAATACAACCTGACTAAACTGTAATAAGTCGAAGCCCATGCATTTAGGAAATTATTCCATGCTCCATATTTACATTGACCAAAATTTTCCATTTACTTCCAGAACGCAGGAGCAGGGTCCACACGTGCTTAAATTGAACGTTTCAAAGAAGAAATCCATTTATCTATTTTTGTTTGTTTTAACTTTTGACTAATATATGATATTTGTGTACAGATGATGTAAATATTAGTGTACATAATAATACTATTTCTAAATAAAGATATTGAGCGTATAATTGGTTTGTGCTGTTTCAGATATACGATATTAATACCAATTATACCCAATACAAAATATTGCCAATAGTGGGCATTACTGTGTCATTTTAACACTGAAATTCGGACATGTATATTAGATTAGAAGACAGTGCTTAACGTTTCATCCATTTTAAAGAAATGCTTAATTGTATATCAAGTTCATGTCGAAAAATAGGATTTGGTGCGCTTGTAAAAACAAGTGGTCGAGTGTTAATGTATTTGACGTAACTTCCTGGGTACCTACATACTGCTTCCTTCATTTAGGTAGTAACTGTGGACATCTTGTATGGTGGTAACAGCAACGCAATTAAATAAATCACCAACTTGGTAATTACTTTCTTAATTGATCTTCTCGTGAGTTGTATGTACTAGTTTTAAAGTTAAATAAACACTAACCTACATGCGTATGAAATCAGAGAGAGTTGTCAAACTGTACACTGTATGTATTCATTATGGAAAGAAAAGTGCTTGCTGACGTGTTTTCTTTAAATTGTTTTGACGTAATCGTGAATCAGTATTATTATACCGACATAATTACCTAAGGAACCACTAAAACTAATTTTCTAATCAAATCCTCTTCTGAAAACGTTAGTTTAAAGATAATGTTAAAGTTTTTAAAACAAAGAACAAATATAGACTGATATTATTTGCTAAATTTAATAAAGAAAAAGTGCATGAATATTCAACAAAAGCGAGAAGAGTTGGATTTGCTAAGTATTCGATATATATTAGTATACATTACACTGAAAGCAGAAAATAGAATACACGACATATTCGAAGTCATGTTAACGTTCGACAGTAAAAATTTCGTCAATCCAGAAAAACGCCAAGATTTGACTTTGATTCTTAAACGCTGATCGGGTTTAAAGTTGTAACATCAGGATATTAACATTTGATATTTCTGAACTTCACATTTTCATTTGATATCTGCTTTTTTCCTTCTAATTATAATAAATAAAAAGCCGAAACGATGATGGGTGTTATACCTTTCATTCACTATTACTTTGTGTTTCTCATATCGAACAAAGTGAAACGTATTTGCTTATGTTATCTTTCCTTGTGGCTTTGATCTGGAAAAAACTCAATCAGTCTTTACAAGTTGAACGGCTTCGATTGCTTCAGAAAATCGATAGGAAGGGCTGTCCATGGGTTGTTCGGTATGTTTTCCGTATGTTCAAGTGGAACATTTACTTCCGTGTTCAAGCATCACAGGTGCCATAGCCCTTAATGAATGTATCAATCATAATTAAATGTAAGCAAACAATCAGAAACCCATTACTACATAAAACGAAAATTAAGATCAAACAATAATTTTACTTCAAGCAAAAACAAATTAAAAATTCCTCAGAAGCAAGAGCAGGGTTTTTATTTTTTTAAAGCGAACGATACATATACACGTAGTTTGTAGTAGTTGGTTAATAAACTTTAAACAAAGAAAACAAACTTACGTCTGGTACACCATCGGTGTAAGCTGGGAATTCTCTATCAGGATCAGAGACACTCCTCCTTAGGGTTTTCTGTCGGAATGTATATAAATTACTGTGTTGGTCACATGGAAATTATTTCTATGTTATTGTTATATGTGCCATCCTATAAGTAAGTGGTCTTAAGTATGACGTTTGATATATGGTCCCAATATTTTCCACGAAAACTTGGATACTGTTATGGCAATTGTATTTCAACCTAATTGCTTTTCAATTAAGTTTTAACGACTACCATTCTGTAAGAAGTCGTATATCCGTAAAGTATTAACTAAAGACACTTACTTTAATCTATAGCTAGTTTCTTTATCCAGTAACTTCCCGTTTCTATAGAAAATGATTTAGCGAACAAATAACCTATTTACCCTATACGATCTAAGCTAGTTTACTCGTCAGGTTACTGCGTTATCTGTATCTTACCCTATTGATTATTACTAAATATCATAATAGCAAATGACATGTTAGAAGTATAGCAATGTGTCTATGACTTATCCATCATCATAAATATAATAACCATTCACGTATGATAACAATCATCTCGGGTAAAGGAATGCATCAACATTTTTTCATGAAATATGAACAATGAATTAGGACAAATTAATTTACAATTGGTAAGGGCATTATTGTCAATGGAAATTAGCAAGAGTACTTTCTATAAGCACAGCTAAAAGAAAATTGCCATATATATACCTATACATCTTCAAACCATTCCATAGAGAATGTAAATATACTACATAAATTGACAGACTATGTTTTAATATACTTACAGATGTCTTATCAGAAGCATTGTATCTCCTGTTAATGAGCTGCTGAATAAGGTCTATTAACCCCTTTTCACCTTTGGTCCCAAGCTGCAATTAAAAAAGAAAACTTTATGACACATACTAACTGTTTGCTGTTTATGTCTATGAGTTTGAAAGTGACATTATCTCATATAAAGTAAATATCATTTCAAACGATAAACCGAAAAATCTATGTAATAGATATAACATTGAGGCCGATGGGGAGAAGAAATGTTATTTAAAAAATCAGAAAAAATAAAAGCAAGAAAAAACATTTCTGTAATGGATTAATCAAACTAATACGTAGGCGGGAAATAGATCCAAATGCGAAATCAAACCACATTTCAATTATATTCAATGATTGCAGGAAAAAGCAGTTTTTAAACGTATATGAACGGCGGAACTAACTCATAAACACGAATAACACAGGGAGTTAAATAAAAGTCAAAAGAATAGGAAAATACCACAGGGAGTAAAATAAAAGTAAAAAGAATAGGAAAATACCACAGGTAGTAAAATAAAAGTCAAAAGAATAGGAAAATACCACAGGGAGTAAAATAAAAGTCAAAAGAATAGGAATATACCACAGGGAGTAAAATAAAAGTCAAAAGAATACGAAAATACCACAGAGAGTAAAATAAAAGTCAAAAGAATAGGAAAATACCACAGGTAGTAAAATAAAAGTCAAAAGAATAGGAAAATACCACAGGAAGTAAAATAAAAGTCAAAAGAATAGGAAAATATCACAGAGAGTAAAATAAAAGTCAAAAGAATAGGAAAATACCACAGGGAGTAAAATAAAAGTCAAAAGAATACGAAAACATCAGTAGAAAACGAAAAGCAATTAACATATAATTCAACTACAGAAAAGGTGATAAATGTAAGAACCAGCAAAACGGGAAAATTAATAAAGACGTACCTTTTGCTTCGGGCTGAGTACTCTCCTCACCTAAAACGAAAATGGTTGTAAAATTATTTAGATGTAGAATGCTTTTCGACTATCTTCATTGTCTCGATTTCATCAAATTTGATACGATTTTACAAAATGATAAGATAAGGTAGGTCACATTTGCTTTTTAAATTGCGATCATTTGACAATGCAATGTTCATATATCTTTATTCTCAGTAAACTTTCACAGAATTTTGTAACCATGATACATCAACAAACAAAGAATTATATCAATTTTAAGTATGAAATACTTGATCTCGCCGTATCTCTTTACTACATTAATTAAACTAATCTATGAAATGAGTCTTTGAATCTATCAATCAGGAAACATTTTAAAGACCCCATATGTATCATGAATGGGAAAGATATTAATAGCAATATTCGTCTCAAATTGCTTTCTTTAACATACAGAAAAGGCATGTTGTTTATATCATTTCATGATTTATTAAACATTAAAGTCCGTCTGGAATTATAAACACAATTTACGTTCTAAATATGATGGTTTTCACGCTAACTGAAATACTACAAAGATATGAGAGAATGTATGGCATACAATCATTAAAATGTTATCAACTTCAGCATAAAGTAACGTGATTCAAGGCTAACATACCTGTGGTGATGGTGGTTTATACTTCAGTGAATTCTGGATACAATCGTTTTCTCCAGTGACACTGTTTGTTACCTTGATCTTTATACTACGACATATTCCTTTATCTTCGTAATCGTTCAAACAATATGTTGCGTCGTCATCTGGTCCAACGACGTTTACAAAGACAATCCTAAAAACGCAATGCGAACAATACATGATTGTATTAGTTTACAAGAGGAAGCTCTCAGAAAAAAAATCATGGATTGTGAAATATTGCAAGTACGAAAACTAAATACACCCTTGGTGTTAAATAGAAAATTATTTACTTATATTCGACTTATCACAATTGAGGTTTTTGAAAAAAAAAACAGTTTTCTTTTTTTTTAAAGGTAATCGCTTTAATCATTCAGAACTTCATCTCATTTTGATATATTTAAGTTTCTAGCTTTTCTTGTTTTATCGTAAAAAAGGAGTGGAATCGTGTTAAAAATCTGAGTGCATTTCTGAATCGCATACTGATATTCCTATATTGTTTAGGTATTTAAACATATAACATATACCAATATCATGTATAGGTATTCATGAAGTGGCACATACTACTTCAACCTTTCTAGTTGCTATTTGTGGCGATCAATTTTCTATTTGTACTTAATGAGTTCAATTCCTCATGATTGCTTACCCGGCATTCTTATCATGGAAGTATATGTTTTCAGAACTAGTTGCTAAGTCATCGTAAGAAGGCGTATAGGAAAACCTGTCCGAGGCGTTATACTGGATTCTCAGGTCGGCAGAAGGAGGTACACAGAAACCAACAATCACACGTTCACTGTTTGAATTCAAGAAAAAAATTTCGAAACCCATGGTTTAAACTTTTAAAGAAATCATTAGGGACAGCACAAGAAATAATTTTTTAAATGCATTATTGCACTCGATACTTTCCATACTTTCCAAAATTGATCAGTATGATAGTAATAATAAGTAGTGATTTACCTTTGAAACTTTGGAAGTTATATCAACATTTTAAAAGTAACCAATAATTGTAACAGAACTCAAAATGGAATCTTCTTTTCAAGACTTATTCAAATTTATAAGATCATTTGGTAAAAAAATAACGCGTTTATCAAATTAATCCATTTTTTATATCTTTGAAAAAAATCTATTGGGAACTTCAGAAATTATAATAATAGCCAACAGGTTATTTTGAGACAATATTTGATTCTCTCATTAAGGATGTAGGATATTTAGACGCCGAAATTTCAACAAATAGTTTGTCAGAATGTTTGTAATTGAAAATATACATTTTTGCTGCTTATATTTCTTATTTTTGTGAATAACATGGATCCTTGTTTATCTTATATGGCGGACTTTTTTCAACAATTTTTTATTCTAATTCGGATGCAATAGGATAACATTGAAATAATCAGCAAAAACGTTGAATTTTGCCCAAAATGTCTACACTAGCAACCGCATAACGTTAGAATTGCTTATTTCACAAGCCTAAATTTATTCACACAGTACAGTTAAAATTCTAATATTTACCATCAGTAATTTTAAAAAATTCTTGAAAAGATGGAAATATTTTTTTTATATAGTATTGTTATACTCAAAAGAATATCATAGCAACAATATAAAGTTTGATATATTATATATGTTATTATATATTATATTTTATATATTATTATATATAATTTTTAATTATAAAAAGCATCACAACGGTCAAGAAATGTATTCCGTTCAGACGCAAAAAAAAAAATCTTCCACAAAAAGTCTTGTTAAGCTCTCTGTTTTGCAAAAAGCAAAATACTTATAAAATGCACAAGTCGCAAATATTATTAATTTTGTATTTAATATTTTCCTTCTTCCGACCAAACATGACCTTCAAACATCTCAATATTCACACATTTGTTTTTAAATCATATAAATACTTATCAGAATAAAAGTTAATATCTTACCCTTTATTGCTTTCAAATGTCTTAAAGTTCACTGTTTTTCCAAAATCAAAACCATCAAAGCGCATTATATAGTGGTATTGCTGGTTGTTGACAATAAGGTTGAATGGAGTATTACTTGGGGAGATTCCTCCTTCAGATTCCAATGTTTCAGTTTTACCTTCATGATCAACTCTAAACACGGAAGCCGGTTTAGTTACCTTCGCCTATTTTGAATAAGAAATAAATTATTATTCTTTTTTTTTTAGAAAAGCTATCAGTCGTAAAAATAAAGAAAATGGAGAAATTTTTGGTAAGCATGATAATTTACGGAATCGGTTTTTGAAAACACGTTACTCCTTTTTCTAATTTTACATTCCAATGGGCCATATTATAACATTTTAATTAATTTACAATTACATAACGATTACATGACCAAATCTTTCATTTTCATTAAGTTATATCTACGAATAACTTTTACCATTGCGTAATTTTCATCACAGACGGAATAGTTTCCCCAGTTTTCCCTTTTATAGCAGTTTTCTGTTAACTGGAAATCAGTACTTCTTAGGACAGTCACTGCTGAGTCTGAATCCGTAACAGATCCGGAGTCATCACGAAATGATTCAACAAGGTTTCCGTCAGCGTCTTTAGCTGTGTTTGGCTTAAGCACTCGGTTACCATCAGTGGGCTATTGTGAAGGTTAGCATTGCATAGTTAATGTCGATGTATATGAGTAGTGTCTCTCAAATCTGTCTAATACTTATTTTTCAAGTAAATCTCTGTCGCATACAACCATTAAATCGGACGCAACGAAGTTATCAGTTAACATTACAGCGAAGTTAAGATGTAATTGAACGAGTAATGATTAAATATATAATATTACACAAAGTGATAACCATTAACCTATCTTCCCATAACAACTAACCGCTCGAAATATTTGATTATTTTATCTTACAGCTAAAAATACAACCGTTTAAACTTACCTCAGTTATGTTTCACTATTGTTTAAGGTTACAATTGAATATCCAACCATATGAATTATAATTTTTCATTTTTGTTTATTAGTTCTTCCCTAACTCAGTCAATGGATTTACATTACCATATTTGTTGATATCAATCATACGCACGTATATGCATTTGGCATTTTAACATTTAGATTTCTACTTATGACTAATAAGAAAAATCAACGTAGTGGTTATTGACCAAATAGCCTCTTAACTTTGAGTTAATCTAACAATAACTATTAATTTTGAAACAATTAAAAAATCATTAAGCTTGATTAATTGGATATTACATGACTAGTTTCAGAATTCAGATTGTATAACAATGTGTTCATTTTATTGTAATCTCAATGTCGCTCCGTTATCCTAAGGCATTGTCGGTAGTACATATTACCATGGGTACACATGTCCAATCAATTGATGGGGGCATTTTAAACATCCGTAAATTTGGGACTGAGTTAGTCCGCAAGAGTGCCAGAATAGAGATTTTCTACTATACTGCATTTAATACAAATTTAGAGTTAGATACAGATTAGTCAAGCAATGAATAAGAAGGCATCTCGCAGCCGTTTTGTCGATGTTCAAGATGTAGGTGGCGATCGAGGAATAGTAAAATTGATCAATCGAAATATCAGAATCTATATGGGGAGAAGCATTAGTCACTTATTATTTTAAAAAATCATTTGTGAATAACGTTACAAATACGTATATTCTAAACCGTGCCACTATTCAAATAGATTAAAACGTACATGAAAGTTATTGCAAATTCAGGGACTTAACGTTCACCATCAATGTCCTAATTTTATACTTATATGTACCTACTTATGTGTACCCCCTCAACATAACAATTCACCACTTCATCTTCAGGCTGTATTGTTTTCATATGATAAGAATGGTTGGATTTCATGGATCAACGATATTACATTGTATGAGCGCGGTCATGTAATGTTATGGAAAGTGCAATGTTGGCGAATAAATACAGATAAACTTAAATAATACATACGTCCCTGAAGCCGAAATACACATCGTTTCCTATTATATTCCCAGCAATTTCTTCATTGTTGTCCGCTACAAAAGCGATGGCCCCTGAGTCGTAAACGTCAGTTGCATAGAAATCGTCAAAGTATACCCCACTCAAATTGACTGGTCCAGAAAACCTCAACCCGGCTCTAGAGTCTGAGTCACTGGAACAATGTAAAGACATTCAACGATTTACACTCAACAAGTTCTATGTATTCTTTTTAACAGACGTTATATTAAGATGTTTAGATGGTACTAAAAAGACGACAATGTTTAAGTCGATACATAGGACTATATTGTAACAGGCAAAAGTTATATACAATATTACAAGCTTTAAGTTGATAGCATGTATACACAGGTCTACGCCGTTACTTGACAGTAGCTGTCTTCAGTTGTGGATTAGCACTACGTTACACAATATGCAATGTGCGCGCGATAGGAAAATTGAACGAATTAAATGTACGATTCCATCGTGAGTGATATAAATTTAGAAACGACTTACAAATATTAATCAGCCAACAATTTTTACCAAACCGCACAAAATGTGAAATATCCTATCGCACAGTTGTGCGCAAGAAACTATATCGTGCTTGTGTGCGGACGAAGCTTTTGGCACGTTACCACAACTATACAATATTGCAAGGTGTAAGTTGACAGCAGGTATACACATGACTACCCATTTAATTGACAGCAGCTTTATCTAATACTAGAAGGTTTAAGTTGACAGCAAGTATACACAGGTCCATGCGTAGCTTGGTTATGTTGCTCCTGATCAGCATGCATCAACCCCTCAATAAGTACATTTCTCCACCCGCATAACAGCCGCCTTAAAGTCATACAGTTCAATTTAAAACTTTATCTCTATAAGAAAAATGTAGTTTCAATTCAAAATGTCAAACGTTTTTAGCTTCTTTTGGAATCAAATCGGATACCGATGTTTTTAGTCCAATTTGATGAATTCAGTTCAACGGTCAGAAAAAAAAAAGATTTAGAGATATTGAGCACCTGATAACTCCATGTGATTGAGGATTATGTGTGTACTCAGTTTTTTTGTTATAATGTAGAGTATATCCCAGATAGATGTATATAAATGTCATGCAAAATAAAATATATACATTCATTTTGTATTTAACACAATGACCGAACTTGTATACTAACGTATCGTTACTCTCCACTACATCAGCGCTTCCACGCTCACCAATGATAGAACTTGTCTTTAATTCCTGATCGTACACTTCATTCCTTGCTCCTCTGAAAATGAAATTGATTTAAAGGTAATCATTAAAACCTGAAAGAATTGAAATGAGAAATTATTAAATTTAGCTATTTTAACACGAGAGTCCGATGCTTCATGACACATGAATATTATGTGTCAAAACCACGCGGTAAAAATGTCGGACACAAGACTACTTGTGAATATCACGGATCTTTTGAACCATCATAAATGTCGGTTTAAAGGAGAAGGGAAGACAAAGAAATAATATCATAAAGATAGTGATGTTATCGTAAAGAAAATGAAAATGATAATCATACAGCAGGCGTATTAAATGGCCATGTATCTGGTAGATCATCAAAGTGATACTTACTCTGGCCCATTTTATAGTTTTTGTTCAACAAATGGAAATGGAAGTCAAAAATTGACCGTTTCAGTGTTTGTTTTACATGTTTCATTTACGCGGAAGTATTATGACAACTATAAGACACTTCGATGTATCAATCTATGTTTTGAATGATTTTCTTAATATCTGCACTATTGAAATGTTCTTCTTATATGCCAACATTTATAAGGACATTAAAGTGTTTTAAATCTTCTACATCTGGCATGCTCACCTCAGAAGTAAAAGTCCCGTTTTGCTCTTTGCCAACCTAAGGAAAGAAATATATAATGTTGATTATTTCAAGGGAGCTTGATTCTTTTAACTGCAGTAATTAACATGTTATGTTATAAAGGATAATGTCTTTTGTGGCGTCACATAACAACACTTTTTTCTTATCTTAACACCATCTTATCATTTTTTTCAATACCCATTTGAATATATCAATTCAGTGCAAAAATTATAAACAGATACAAATTTTGAATAAAACTGAAGATAGTTACAAAAAAGTCTGACCATATATTTAATTTTGAAAATCATTATTTATTTTATATTGATAAAATCTTGAGATAAGTAAGTAATTATACATTGCTATAATGGGAACATAGAACAATACGTACGCAATATTAGAGAGTGATACCTTAGCTGCTCTTAGCCGCATATTGACTTTGCCATTGGAATATCCTTAAAGTGCAAGAATTGTAGTACTTAAGACATATTTCTCTGTATTCACGTCATATTATCAACAATTAAAATGATTTTTGTATAAAATATATACAGAACAAATAAACAAACTTCATCTCTTACAAAGATTTTACGAATAAAAGAGAATAATACATTTTAATTGTCATTGCAGACACTTCAGAAAAAGTGCTATAATTCAATAATAATGCTATATAGTTGACAACAAAATCTTTGCTTTGTCTTGACGTAAACTGTCATAGAATATGTAATTTTATTGAAATCCGTCGTGTATGCTGTAATAGCTCAAAGTTTTACATCCTCATTTGGTAACTCCTCTGTGTAACACTGGTGAATTTAAATGCATTGTATAGAAAACGCAGTTCTGGTTTGTCAATAGATATATGATTACATGTTGGCATTTTTACATGTTCTCTGATTATTACTGTTATTAGGGACATTTGGTATTCTAATTTATGATTTTTTCATTGGAAAAACCCAGTGCCAGTGCATCTTCCGACCATCGTTTCATGTCATGGGAAGCATTTATGTGTCTTATGGGGTATCATGATATCAGCATTATTTCAACAATGTTATTGCCAAGTAATTAATTACAAGTAAGGGATTGTAGGCCTTTAGCATCACTGACTAGCCTTACACGGATTAAATATGAAATGATGCAGTTTAATTTATTATTTAGCTCTACTGTATCTCACAGTATTGAAAGAGGCATTTCACTTCTGTGTCTTTAGTACAATCATTGTAACTCACCAGTCAGGCAACTAAGTTCTAGTAGAGCTAGCTCAGAACCACTGTCATTCGGGGCGACTCGTGGGTTGTAACCACTGTTTGCGATGATATTACCATCAGTGTCCATGTGATCATCAAAGTATAAACCAGTCTACAAGAAAAAACAGAAATAAAAAGTATGTTTCTCATCCAGGCACAAGTACATGTGTTATGAACGTCTGGATCACAGTTTCCCGAATAATGTTTAGATGTAAACGTGCTAATGTTGAGTAAATTTCAAGTTTAACCAGGTACAGCGGTACAATGGAAGGAGCTCATTGATACATGTAGGAAATGAACTCCATTATACGTATTTTATCAAAAACAGATTGCAATCTCATTGCGGTGAAAAATAATTTCTGAAACCAGAGACGACAAATAATGTTACAGAATGGACAATCTAAATAAGCATATCAAAAAGGACGGACTGCACTATTTTCCAGGCATGCAGTTTCTGATCTGTTTACCTCTAAGTTTGAGTGGAACGTGTTCCCTTTGAAAAGCGTAATTTTAGTTCTGCTTGCTTCATAGTCTTTTAAACCATTCAGCGGGTCTGCTGTACCAGTCGGTGATATTGGAAACACCACATAAAATCCAATGCTCTTAAATGAAACATTAAATTGTGCATAGCAATGATAAACGTTTTTATTCAGAAACAAGTTGACATCAAATATAGAATACACATTCGTAATAATTTGAGCAGTAGATACATATGCTAATACATATATTCAGACGCAGCGTTTATAGATTGAAAAAATGACAGTTAAATATTACTTATTACTAAAAATGAGAAGAGTGGAAGAAATTTAAAAAAGCTCAGTTGTTTTCAAAATAATTGCAATCTACATTATATTTCCGATGGTGTAGAAATCTGGAGAAGATCGATGACTGTTATATTTTATCAATGCAGTGATATACAGTGATATACAGATTGAATACTAATCATTTCGATTTTCTTTGGTATAAGCTTCAAACATTATAAAACCTGATGTCCAAGCTATTGCTTTTTCATATTGTGTGTGAAACTTACTTCAGACCCTACTGCTACATTTCCCTCAAATTCGTTGTTAGGATTGGTAATGTAAAAACCTGATGGATTTCTGCAAACACAACATGTCTTTTAAATGATACATAGAAATTTGATACCGAAAATGAAATTTCTCGTAAATAGCATTGAACAATTACCGTAGATAAAGGACAACGTCATATATGATGAATGTCTAGTGTATGTCTAAGACGAAATTCGGTGTTGTAAATGAATTAAATGTTCTGATTAAACATTGAATAGAAGTACGAGACTCAACAACACAAGTGGTTGAAATATCATTTTGACGAAAGTAATTGTTAATATATAACTAACTTGTATGATTGAATGAAATGAAAAATTTTAAGGTACATGACAGGACATGGAATTGGGATATCTGAACTAAAACGAACGAGTCTTAAGGTTTATGGTTAATTAGATAACTGTCTGTTGGTGTAACACAATTTTTAACGTACTGCACAAACTTCAAAGGCGATTCAATAACCTACTTATCTGATGGAATGAGAAAAACGCCGTCATTGTCTGGTTTTCGGATAAGCATGGCAAGATTGTTTAGAATCTTGTTATATTGCTCGTCGCCATCCTCTAGAAAGTACCCGTGTCCAGCACTCTCTATACATACGGTGTTTCTCACCTGCAGATGCATTTAGAACTTATCAGATATCTAAAATAAAGACAATCTTTTATCCTTTTGTCAAATAATTGCTAAAATTCTATATAATTATATGAAAGTTTAAATGGTGTCAATACTGAAAGATGATGTATCAGTAACATTCTTAAAAACAGCAACACCTATACAAAATACGTACACAAATTGAGTTTTGGATGTAAAGCACATATGTTTATTATTACGTTTTATCCATTAATAAAGATATTTATAACATTTACTAGCACATTCATTTCATAAGCTGCATGACAGATACAACATTGCCTATGTTTTAACTTGGAATGAAATACATATGTAAAACATAGCTGTTTAGATACGGAAATTTGTGCACACATTTCAATAAAAAATGGTATTAATATTTTGCAATTTCTATAAAAGATACGACGACCTTGACCTGATAGTTCTGAAGCACACGACATGTATACATATTGCGATTGAAAGCGGTAATTGGGGTTTTCATGCATTCAAATTAACTATAATTAAGCGAGGATTTGATGAAAGAAAACTTTTTTATGTCACTTGTTTTGTTAAAAGGTTGAACAGAATATATGAAATACTGAACTTGTTAAAAATTGGCCCTTTTTTCAATCATACACCAGGAGATTATATATGATGTAATACCAGTCAAAGGTAAGGTTTCTAGCAATGCTCATCTCCCACTGAGGTCAGCATAAAGATTTTTTTTACCCTATGAGATCATTCACCGATACATTGCTTTGTGCGATCAAAGTTAGTTCCCTTTGGCTTTACATTTGATCCGCATTAATCGTTTAAGCACTTGCCTGATTAACTAATTACGTAACTAACTTACTAAACTATGACCGCCGATTGTCACAAAACAGTATAAGAAATTATTAGTTTAACGAAGTAGGAAAGTTCGAACCATAAACTAAATAACAAAATATTAAAACAGTAAGTATACCGCCGATATTACAGATTTTTCAAGCAATCTGTGAGAAGCATGCCATTTTTTTTTTATTAACAATTGACATTTTAAATGTCTTCCGTATTCAGTCCAATCAAGCATATAGATAGCTTTATCTGTAACCTTAACCCTGCCCAAAGATCGAAACTGCACCATTTGTGGAAAGTGTTGATTTTGGCTTTAATTTGCATCATCACAATGACTCGCGGAACGATATTGGACATAGAAGACCACCATATTACACTCCAAACCTTCATGTACACATGTTCCTTTCCTGATATATAACAAACTCTCGCACGCATACATATAATACCGACATGTTTTGAATAACTATATCTGTCAATTATAATTAGGACGTTTTATACAATATATTATATGACCGATAGTTTTAATACCAATATTAAAACACATTAAATCCCATATACCTCAATGTCATAAATTGTTCTTTTGACATTACTTTCTACATATTCTACTGAGACGGATACTTTAACCAACTAATAAAGTGCTGTTCTCACAATGAAAGGTAGGTGCGGGTTGTAAAATTATCTTTAGGAGAGTCATTAAAACCAAGATCTCTAACATGGTATTCGCAGCATGTTTTCTTAAAAAACTGATATTTTAGCATTTCCCCAAAAAACCAGACATTTTTATTTTTCATTCTTGGGACACAAAAGGGCGCTATATCCTTGCATGTGTACATGTTTGGAATAAAATGCTTATTTGTAAACGTACGACTACAGATGCTACTAATTGCACATACAAGCTGTTCTTCGGCCATTTTGAAACCCCACCTTTATGATAAAATGAATAACAATCAGTCAATAGTCAAACTTATCTGTGTGACCATGACGCATTGATGTACTTACAGTTAAATTGTTTGTGCGATGAATGGTGACACATCGGGCATACGTGAGGTAGATGACCAGTGAATCAACACTAGCTTTTCCCTCTACATCTCCTGCTAGGTGAAAATGGACAGGGTACCTTCCTGCAAACATCATCAAAAGATAAGTGGTTGTACAGAGTTAACACCTGAAATCATTCAAGGTCTAATGAGTTTGAGTTCAGGTCACTTAAGTTCATACATTGGCAAAGACAATCCATGGTATCGAAGTTCAACACCATATTGGCATTTCACATGGTAAGTTATTCGTGGGATGGTCATACACTGCGGCGTTGCGTTACAACCTTAATAACTATAAAAGAAAATTCGTGTAATTCATCTAATACAATGGAGAGGGCTTGGGGAATAAAAATATGTGGTAGAAAAGTAAGTCTCTGCGGTTTGGGAGACATTTTGTATTGAAATTAACTTACCGATAGGAAATTGTTGACCCATATGTTTCAGTTCTATGGAATTAAGATTGAAGGAATTGAAATCAGCCACACACTGTATAAAATAATGAACATATATCAATTGATCATGCAAAACCACGTGAAGGATATGCAGAGCATAATATCTCTTATTGGTGAATAAACGCATTGAAAACATGTATATTTTACAGCAATTGAAGTTCAATGCTTCATCTTGACACAAAACTGTTTGCCTTTTGGAGAAAATGAGCGCTCCAAAATTAGAATTAGAGTATTGTTGGCGGCGTGTTCCATGTTAATATTTTCACCATATGCAACCGAGGGTGGGTTAGACTTCTCAGCTGAAGCCCTTCATGGACTCACCTAACCAGGTATGTCGATTACCGGGTGTATTTCAATGGTTTCCTATACATTTGTATACTTAGTTTTGATCAGTATTTTATTGTTAATCGATTTAAAGCACCATTATTAGCTGCAGAATTAAATTGGTCTTATCTCGAATACAACCTTTGAAAATGACATTAGAATAATGTTCTCACGTATCTTATTTAAACTATCTTAGCAGTGAAATGTATCTAGCGTTAAGTGGATTATGTATTGTATGTAATTCCATTCTTCAAAATAATAAAAAAAAAATGTAAAAAGACACGGCCATATACATTTTACATGCATTTGAAAAAATCATTAAAAATAAAAAACGACTAGAATATCAGTGAAAACCTGACTTAAATGAAAGCAAAGTTATGCTCTAAACAAAACATGTTTACCAAAGGGCTATAACTCTGTAATTGAGGGATCGAGGGGCCTGAATTTGATACCCTGGACATCCCCAACGTATATACCAATTTTCCGGACACTGCCTTAAATGAAGGCAAAGTTATACTCCAGACACGAAATGACGGACGGAAAAGGCAGCATCTAAATGCTCTCCAGAAACTTTTCAGGGAGCATAAAAATTCACCAATTGGCTGCACAGGTCTAATGCAGAGAAAAATATAAAGCTAAATATAAAACTAAAGACAGATATCCCTGTTGTTTGAATACAATTGAAAATTGATCCATTTGTTTTTTTTTCTTTAACAGCTATGGTATAAACATATATAAAAACAGTTTTTACGAGATGATTCATATATTTTTTAGAAAACATAATATATTGTATACATTTTGATGTTGATATCAGTGACTGTCTGGTAAGATTCTTCTTGTCGAAGACTCAGCTGCTGTTAATTATAACTCAAACAAACTATTATATTTGTGTTGAACTGTCAAAAAATCTCTATCCATTACATCGTACGGACAATAGTGAATGCTAAAAATTTGCTTCGAAACTGTCACGTCTTGCCGTAACCATGAAACCGTACTTACCTTAATATGACCGCCATATTTGTCCGCACCAAATGTTACTCCTTTCACGACCACGTTGCGGTTTAGTAGTGCCACCTCGGCACACATGAAAACCCCCTTGTACGTTTGGCACAAGTGTTCGTATCTGGTCACCACTGTGGAGTATAAAAAGAATCCAATGCAATATACTTTAATGTACATCTTAAAAGTATGCTTATATTCTTCCTCTAAGAAACATACCATTCTTTTATTTCTTAAAGGCATACTTCCAGTCTCATTGTCCTATCTCAAGGGTCCCTATGTAATCATCTAACTTTATATATATTTTTGATACCATTGAAGATATTGGAGTCTGATATAATTAAGGGGCTTGGTAGACATGTCGATATTTTCTTATTGTTTACATAGTAAGAAAAAAATATATAAATTATACATAACTTTCACATTCATCTGGCAAAGTAGTCATGACATATGATTGAGTTGATCTAGTAAACACAAATTTATCACGTTCTGGACAAAGAGAACGCACACAAAATATGTTTAGTTCATAATAATATACAGGACATCTCGCATGTACTTCATAAAAAACATCTTTTGTATGACGACACTATTCCAATACTCATTTTTCAATAATTCATTGAGGTGTTCAATATTACAAACTTGGATATGCTCCTATTATCATGAACCTTTCATATTATAACTATATCTTTTTTCATCTCACAAGACTCCACACAAAACATGATAATTTAGTTGTAGGTTAAGGTATTTTATTTTGAGCACGTCCCTATCCTATCTAGGTTCTGATATTCTTTCGATCATTTTGGATTTTCTTAGTCTTTTCCTATGTTTCAACATTTTCATTCCTAGCATCAGTGACGAGCCTTAAAAGGACGAAACAGTTGAATGCCAAGGTAGTATTTGCTATCAATTGTTTGGTGCAGCTGTATCCACGAAGAAAGACACTTACACCGAATCTTCACATGAGTAGAATCAACTAGTTCCGTGATCGTTGCATATTCATGTTCTTCAGGATCCTTGGATGTAGATGCGATCATAATTCTGTCGTCTTGAACAGAAAGTGCGTAGTGAAGTGGATGTATGAATACATATATATGATTAGAAAACATTATGGAATTATATGCGCTTTATGTTGTAAAAAGTTGAATATTGATTTAAAAGCGTGGGCGTCTATAAATTGCACAGCTATGAACATAGAGAACTAATATTGTTTGAAACGTACACTTCAGACAAGCACATATTCACTCATATATCATTTGTGCAATCATTTAAATGGAAATGTATGTAAAATACTATCCTTAATAAGACATCACATGAGTAATCAATGAAAGGCAGGAAATGTTATATGTTTTAAAAAGACACGGGGGAGGGTCAGTATAAAAGAGTTTAGTGATAGGATAAAATGGAGTAAAGACTTTACGACATGAAAGTATCCTAGTAAGACGTAGTTATATATAAATTGAATTAATACACCCTTTCAGTCACACATGAACTGGTATGAACTCTCTCATCTGTTTAGCATCAAGTTATATGTAAATTGAATTAATAAACCCTTTCAGTCACACATGAATTGGTATGAACTCTCTCATCTGTTTAGCATCAAGTTATATGTAAATTGAATTGATAAATCCTCTCAGTTACATGAGTTGTATAAACTCTCAAACCGATACACACAGGCACAATCAATAGTCATATATATACTCGTATACACAATTTTACTTTTCGCTGAAGATTTTTTTTTTAAAAATCGAAGAATTCAGATTTCGCTATTAACACAATCGGCAAACATATAATATGGATACTACTCATATCAAATAAATATCTTTTCATTAATTCGTAACATATTTACCTACGTTCCAGGTGGAAACGTCATCGGCAAGTTCTATAATGTGCTCGGAATGGTTGCGGTAGGTTACCTCTACCCTTGTAAAGGACTTTCCATGACCTTTTAAGCTAATGAAACTCATAGCTGTCAAAGTACGATCCTCAGTAGACATCGATGCTTCAGATATCTGAACAGCATTGTCCTTGTTGTAATCACTTTGTGCCTCAATCCCGTCTGCGCTATTTGAGTTGCTATCTATATTAACATCGCGAAAATGTAGATATGTTTACATACTTTTTATGATCAAACTAAAATCAACGAAAAGAGAGTAAAATTTCACTAACAGAAATGCAGATTTACACTGCTAACCCTTACGGAATGGTGGAGGTAAATCGAAAATACGATCTGTGTTGTCGACGACACTTTTCATATAAATCTTGGTAATTGCAATCCAAATTGTCTAGATTTTCATTTGTACAAACTATTTTTAAAGTGTTCGAACTCTGTAATAATGATTCGGAACATAATGATCATACCTTTTATCTATAACTTTTCATTCAATATCAAGCAACTGGCTCATACCTTTCCTTTTAATACCAGCATAACCATCATAAAATTCCAGTTGGCGGATTTTAGACATTCCTTCTTCTAAATTAAAGAAATCTTCGACCAAGTTGTATAATGCGGTAAGGTTAATTCCTTCACTGTTATTCGGTGTTACCAAAGATTTCCGGATTGCGAAAACAACTATATGTTGTTCAGGAACGCCTGAATAAAACACATTTTGAGTATTAATTCATATCTATTTCGGATATTGAAAAAAGCAAACAAAATACAACAAAACATATAATATAAAGTTTCATAGTTTTATATATGTATTTTACAATCTTAATGTAGAATACTAAAACACTATCGGCAAGAACATCATCAATAAACAGGAGTACTGTGTGTGTATAATTCAAATAAGAGAAACGGTTTGTGTATCCTATATATGAATACAAAAGCAGAATATCAACATGGCAGATAAAGTTCCAAATCACTAACGCTCTCCAGACGAAAAATGCCATAGGTTCATTTCATAATCGTTGCATATATTAGTATATATTATGTTTATTGGACAATAATGTTACGTCATAATGTATGTTATTATGTAACGTACCTATGGCATCAATTGCCTGCACATATTACATAATTCATATACTATTCTTACTATCTAAGTAAGCTGCAAGTTGTTCCACTCGTTTATCGAATGTTTTTTGTGAGATTGTCCTAAAGTTGATGATCGTCTCATTTACATCTGCTGCAGTATAAGTGTCCAGTTCAGTATCAAAGTGGTACACGACCAGACCCTGCACGTTATTGTCTTGTGTTACCTAATACAGAAAAGAAAGAGAACAAAACACAGGTTTTCACTGTTTGTAGTTGAATGAGAATTCTATGTTGATGTTTGCGCAAACTGAGACAAGTAGATAGCACCTTTAATACAAATCTAGAGTGAGACACAGTAGAGACAAACATACAGATTTTTCGTCCTTCTTAGTCTCCTCAGTGATGCTAAGGGCCTAAATTTTCAATAAAAGTAAATACGCTAGCCCCATATTTAGATAAATCTATTACTTTCATATAACAGATAATTTTAGTACAGCGTCAATTGAATTGAATCTTGGCGCACGTGCATGTTACGGCAAACCTCAGCGAGTCCACCAGCAGTACCCTATGAAAGATTGTACAAATGACACACAAGTGAATAGCACCTTTTAATACAAAGTAATAGTATGTTATACCTGAAAGTGTAATGTTGTTGAAACGCTGTTTATTTCTTCAAACACTCCGCCACTTTAAAAGGTATAATATTCAATATGGAGTTAAAAACACGACAAATTTATATGAAATGATAATGTATCAAACATACTTCCGAACGGTAAGCAAATCCATCATCCGACATTTTGGACAGAGTATTTTCTATTCTTGTCCATGGGAGTTGGTACTCTCCATACATATTTAAATCCGCATCTCTTTCGACGCCTATGAACTTGTCTCCAAAGTTCTCTATATCATAACCTGGATCCCTTTCGCCTTAAGGAGAGAGAGAGAGAAAAAAAACATGTCAAGCAATTCATAATCCAAACTCAAATTAAATAAAACTAAATATGAACAAAAGAAAGCTTTAAACAGATACAAACAAGCCTAGTACTAAATGGTCTATGTTATGGCTACCGATCCAATCATAACTTTGAAAGATGTATATATGTAAAATTGTTCTCCTTTCTAGTTTCTTTCAACCTATTTTGTTATCTTACATTAATATTAACCGATATTGTGCGAATAAATTCTTGGAAACGCATTCTCGAATTGTATATACCCGTGTTTTATTTTCAACATCGATGCATGCACATACATAATATCTGTTAATCATGCAGATACAACTTGTGACGGAGATGACGTCAATATCCAAGAGTACAGAGATGACGTCAATATCCAAGAGTACAGAGATGACGTCAGTATCCAAGAGGACAGAGATGACGTCAATATCCAAGAGGATAGCTTTACAATTAGTGATGAATTCGGTAGAATTTGCGTTGCAAACTATGGCAAAACAACCAAACATTCATGCAGCTTTATAATCAGTTTTGGCAGTTGCTAGCAACACAATCACCTAAACGCTTAAAATGACAAAATGGTACCTATAGCACATGTAGGATTTAATATGTGTGAGGAAATGTAATGAGAAACATGTACTGGAACCATGCAAAGTACAACTAAGCCGAATATCTAATCACCAAGTGATAAAACAAACTTCATCCGAACATTACCTGAATGGTCAGATTTCTCATCAATTCAGACCACAAGAAAAAAAAAAACTAAAAAACATGATCTCAATTATATACCTATCGAGTAGTTGGATGGTCAGTTATAAACTACAGAGTAGCTGGATGGTCAGTTATATACTACCGAGTAGCTGGATGGTCAGTTATATACCTACCTAGTAGCTGGATGGTCAGTTATATACCTACCTAGTAGCTGGATGGTCAGTTATATACCTATCGAGTAGCTGGATGGTCAGTTATATACCTACCTAGTAGCTGGATGGTCAGTTATATACCTACCGAGTAGCTGGATGGTCAGTTATATACCTATCGAGTAGCTGGATGGTCAGTTTTATACCTACCGAGTAGCTGGATGGTCAGTTATATACTACCGAGTAGCATGGTGGTCAGTTATATACCTAACGAGTAGCTGGATGGTCAGTTATATACCTACCTAGTAGCTGGATGGTCAGTTATATACCTATCGAGTAGCTGGATGGTCAGTTATATAACTACCTAGTAGCTGGATGGTCAGTTATATACCTATCGAGTGGCTGGATGGTCAGTTATATACCTACCTAGTATTAGGATGGTCAGTTATATACCTATCGAGTAGCTGGATCGTCAGTTACATACCTACCGACTAGCTGGATGGTCAGATATATACTACCGAGTAGCATGATGGTCAGTTATATACCTATCGAGTGGCTGGATGGTCAGTTATATACCTACCTAGTATTAGGATGGTCAGTTATATACCTACCGACTAGCTGGATGGTCAGTTATATACTACCGAGTAGCATGATGGTCAGTTATATACTACCGAGTAGCATGATGGTCAGTTATATACCTACCTAGTAACTGGATGGTCAGTTATATACCTATCGAGTGGCTGGATGGTCAGTTATATACGAGTAGCATGATGGTCAGTTATATACCTACCGAGTAGCTGGATGGTCAGTTATATACCTATTGAGTAGCTGGATGGTCACTTATACAATACAGAGTAGCTGGATGGTCAGTTATATACCTATCGAGTAGCCGGATGGTCAGTTATATACCTATTGAGTAGCTGGATGGTCAGTTATATACTACCGAGTAGCATGATGGTCAGTTATATACCTACCTAGTAGCTGGATGGTCAGTTATATACCTATCGAGTGGCTGGATGGTCAGTTATATACCTACCTAGTATTAGGATGGTCAGTTATATACCTACCGACTAGCTGGATGGTCAGTTATATACTACCGAGTAGCATGATGGTCAGTTATATACCTATTGAGTAGCTGGATGGTCAGTTATATACCTATTGAGTAGCTGGATGGTCACTTATACAATACAGAGTAGCTGGATGGTCAGTTATATACCTATCGAGTAGCCGGATGGTCAGTTATATACCTATTGAGTAGCTGGATGGACAGTTATATACCTACCGACTAGCTTGATGGTCAGTTATATACCTACCGAGTAGCTGGATGGTCAGTTATATACTACCGAGTAGCTGGATGGTCAGTTATATACCTACCAAGTAGCTGGATGGTCAGTTATATACCTATCGAGTAGCTGGATGGTCAGTTATATACCTATTGAGTAAATGGATGGACAGTTATATACCTACCGACTAGCTTGATGGTCAGTTATATACCTACCGAGTAGCTGGATGGTCAGTTATATAATACCGAGTAGCTGGATGGTCAGTTATATACCTATAGAGCAGTTGAATGGTCAGTTATATACCTACCTAGTAGTAGGATGGTCAGTTATATACCTATCGAGTAGCTGGATGGTCAGTTATATACCTACCGAGTAGCTGGATGGTCAGTTATATGCCTACCGAGTAGGTGGATGGTCAATTTTATACCAATCAAGTAGCTGGATGGTCAGTTATATACCTACCTGGAAGCAGGATGGTCAGTTGTATACCTACCGAGTAGCGGGAGGGTGAGTTATATACCTATCGAGTAGCTGAATGGTCAGTTATATACCTATTGAGTAGCATGATGGTCAGTTATATACCTACCGAGTAGCGGATGGTCAGTTATATACCTATCGAGTAGCTGGATGGTCAGTTATATACCTATTGAGTAGCATGATGGTCAGTTATATACCTACCGAGTAGCGGATGGTCAGTTATATACCTATCGAGTAGCTGGATGGTCAGTTATATACCTATTGAGTAACTGGATGGACAGTTATTTACCTACCGACTAGCTTGATGGTCAGTTATATACCTACCGAGTAGCTGGATGGTCAGTTATATACCTACCGAGTAGCTGGATGGTCAGATATATACTACCGAGTAGCTGGATGGTCAGTTATATACCTATCGAGTAGCATGATGGTCAGTTATATACCTACCGAGTAGCTGGATGGTCAGTTATATACCTATCGAGTAGCTGGATGGTCAGTTATATACCTATTGAGTAACTGGATGGACAGTTATTTACCTACCGACTAGCTTGATGGTCAGTTATATACCTACCGAGTAGCTGGATGGTCAGTTATATACCTACCGAGTAGCTGGATGGTCAGATATATACTACCGAGTAGCTGGATGGTCAGTTATATACCTACCGAGTAGCTGGATGGTCAGATATATACTACCGAGTAGCTGGATGGTCAGTTATATACCTATCTAGTAGCTGGATGGTCAGTTATATACCTACCTAGTAGCTGGATGGTCAGATATATACTCCCGAGTTGCTGGATTGTCAGTAATATACCTATCGAGTAGCTGGATGGTCAGTTATATACCTATCGAGTAGTTGAATGGTCAGATATATACCTATCGAGTAGTTGGATGGTCAGTTATATACATATCGAGTAGCTGTATTGTTAGTTATATACCTATCGAGTAGCTGGATATATGCCTACCGAGTAGGTGGATGGTCAGTTTTATACCTATCAAGTAGCTAGATGGTCAGTTATATTACCTACCTAGTAGCTGGATTGTAAGTTTTCCGGAATACCGACAGTCTTTAGATCCGACATCCATACGGCCGCCTGCCTTGATAAGAATATAGTTTGTCTTCAGTAGAAGCCCACCAACTACGTTAGGCTTGAACACCAGCTTGGCACCATTTTCAATCACGATTCCTGCATACTCGTCAGTTGAACTCGTGTCATATAGGATTCCAGTGGAGATTGTTACTAAGTCATTGGTCCCAACATTCTGAAATAATCCAATATTTTTATAGTTAATGCAACTTGATACGATCAAACGAATAATTTGAAATATTTAGAAAGATCCAATCTCCAAACTTAACCCATATGTAAGCAACAAATGATATTGTAAAAGATTCTGTCCTAAGTTTACATCCATTTAGTCTTCATCATGCTTTTCATGAATCACGACTATTTTCAAAGTATATGGCAATGTAGATAACGATAAAGCAGGAGTTCGTTCTTTGGAGTCTTTAAACTCAGCGTCAGCAAAGACAAAAACAAACGAGGCAGGTCCGTAGAACCATCAACAGATGGAAAAGTGACTTTAACGCCGAAACAAGATCAGCAATTTCATCGTTGCGATAGTGCGAAATATTTACTGGTACGTAGGCTTACCATAACAAAAGTTGTTTCTAAAAGTCGTTTATCATCGGGCTGTAATTCTAATGTTTCAGTATGTACTGTTTTACTAAACACATTGGACTGGAGCTTGGAATACATTCTTTTAAGCTGTATTCTTGAAAGTCCCTGTTTTAGCTATTCCTTGAATTATTTTCTAATGTTTATAAGTATATAGCAAGGATCACGTATGGGGTATTTACTGCTTTCATACCTGGGAACATGACTTTGCTGTTAAAAATTAAGACATAAAAAATCCCGCACAATAACTGCAACATGAAATAAAACGAAAATAAAACCGATGAAACTGGAACTTAATAAAATAATGGTTGATAAAGATTTATACGCTTTTAAAATGTACGGAATTTTCTTTCCAAAAAAGGCCCGAGTGTCAAACCTATGTCAAACCTATGTCATGCGCTATACATATCAATATTGGTATTGAACGTTCTGTCTCTTTACATGAACATTTCCTTTCCCAGCAAATGAAATCTATATGTATTCCGTTTATAAGGTTAAAAAAAGAGAACTGAAATTCTACGAAAAACTATTTATAACTATGTGAGAGGAGGATGGCAATTCAGTCAAGTCAAACAAATTCGTCACTCGCAACAAATGTCCCGACCCTTTTATAGATAGGACAAAATGAACGTAAGGTAATGTCAAAAAGGAGCCTTAGTATGTGGGGCACGCTTTGTAAACCTATAGCTTCATTTGTCACAACTCTACACACACACACAAATAAAAAATTAATGAATAAAAAAAAATTAAAATGATAAGTATCTAAATTAAAAGGGGACGATTTGATAGGAAACAAGAAAGATGGATGTTTTTCAGTTATTGGAACTAAACCACTGATGCAGATCAGTATCATCTGAATTCGATTAAAAATACTAATGATACCGAATGACATCTTTATTTCGCCATTTTCCAAACCCCGCGCTAATTTCTCCAAAGGAACAAAAACAAATACATGACAAATACTCGACACTGGTTATAGTATCTATAGTATTGTGCCATAGTTGCAGGGGGAGAGTAATTGTACTCACCAGTGATGACCAAGGCGAAAGATTGGTATCATCGGAAGGACAAATTGCAACGCAAGCCGCCAGTAAAGATGTTACCACCAACAGAACAAAAACCGGATGAGACATCATCACCATCTCATCCGTACGTCAAATACACAAGTGTCGTTGTCTGGAAAAATAATCATACATTTGTATAAATCAAAAATAATATATATACGTTACCTGTACATAAATAAGTTTTTGTTTCTTTTTTTTCCTTCAAAGTTCCACTTCGGTTTGCATTTATAGATCTATTATGATGGGTAAATCTTTGAAATAATTATACAGGGGACCAAGTGTGCGCAAAACATGTAAATTATTTTCTATAGTCTATCCATCTGTACATTAACTTAGTCAAGACATGACCCGACGGAAGGGGCTCATATGTGAAATCAATATTCTCCTCAGCTGCTACACATCGTTGTCAGATATTTAGCTAGATAGTTGAAATAATATCTATTGATAGTGGAACATTTAAAGACTGTAATTATCAGTTTATAAGTGTCTAAACAAGTGCCAATACCTGGTTGATAGTTTAATATTGGTGAGTTATCATATATCACAGCAACCTATACGCTATAATTTATTAAGAGTTCCTTTATGAAAGGTTTGTCACCTATCAGAGGCGAAAAAGATGAATAGATATTGCAAATTTTGTTATTTACAAATGCTTATTTATGTCACTCTCTCGAACGAAAAAAATAAGACGTATGAACCAAATAAAAGTCGTACGAACGAGATAAAAAGTCGTACGAACGAGATAAAAAGTCGTACGAACGAGATAAAAAGTCGTACGAACGAGATAAAAAGTCGCAAGAACGAAATGAAAAGTCGCACGAACGAGATAAAAAGTCGTAGGAACGAGATAAAAAGACATACGAACGAGATAAAAAGTCGCAAGAACGAAATGAAAAGTCTCACGAACGAAATAAAAAGTCGTACGAACGAGATAAAAAGTCGTACGAACGAGATAAAAAGTCGTACGAACGAGATAAAAAGTCGTACGAATGAGATAAAAAGTCTCACGAACGAAATGAAAAGTCGTACGAACGAGATAAAAAGTCGTACGAACGAAATAAAAAGTCGTACGAACGAAATAAAAAGTCATAAAAAGTCCTACGAACGAGATAAAAAGTCGTAAGAATGAGATAAAAAGTCGTAAGAATGAGATAAAAAGTCGCACGAACGAAATAAAAAGTCATAAAAAGTCCTACGAACGAAATAAAAAGTCGAACGAACGAGATAAAAAGTCATAAAAAGTCCTACGAACGAGATAAAAAGTCGTAAGAATGAGATAAAAAGTCGCACGAACGAGATAAAAAGTCCTACGAACGAAATAAAAAGTCATAAAAAGTCCTACGAACGAAATAAAAAGTCGAACGAACGAGATAAAAAGTCATAAAAAGTCCTACGAACGAAATAAAAAGTCGAACGAACGAGATAAAAAGTCATAAAAAGTCCTACGAACGAAATAAAAAGTCGAACGAACGAGATAAAAAGTCATAAAAAGTCCTACGAACGAGATAAAAAGTCGTAAGAATGAGATAAAAAGTCGTACGAACGAAATAAAAAGTCGAACGAACGAAATAAAAAGTCATAAAAAGTCCTACGAACGAAATAAAAAGTCGAACGAACGAGATAAAAAGTCATAAAAAGTCCTACGAACGAGATAAAAAGTCGTACGAACGAGATAAAAAGTCATAAAAAGTCGTACGAACGAGATAAAAAGTCATAAAAAGTCGTACGAACGAGATAAAAAGTCGTACGAATGAGAGAAAAAGTCGTACGAATGAGATAAAAAGTCGTACGAACGAAATAAAAAGTCGAACGAACGAAATAAAAAGTCATAAAAAGTCCTACGAACGAAATAAAAAGTCGAACGAACGAGATAAAAAGTCATAAAAAGTCCTACGAACGAGATAAAAAGTCGTAAGAATGAGATAAAAAGTCATTACGAACTAAATAAAAAGTCGAACGAACGAGATAAAAAGTCATAAAAAGTCGTACGAACGAAATAAAAAGTCGTACGAACGAGATAAAAAGTCATAAAAAGTCGTACGAACGAGATAAAAAGTCGTACGAATGAGATAAAAAGTCGTACGAACGAAATAAAAAGTCGCACGAATGAGATAAAAAGTCGTACGAACGAAATAAAAAGTCGTACGAATGAGATAAAAAGTCATAAAAAGTCCTACGAACGAGATAAAAAGTCGTAAGAATGAGATAAAAAGTCATAAAAAGTCCTACGAACGAAATAAAAAGTCGAACGAACGAGATAAAAAGTCATAAAAAGTCCTACGAACGAAATAAAAAGTCGAACGAACGAGATAAAAAGTCATAAGAAGTCGTAGGAATGAGATAAGAAGTCGTAAGACGAGATAAAAAGTCGTACGAATGAGATAAAAAGTCTCACGAACGAAATGAAAAGTCGTACGAACGAGATAAAAAGTCGTACGAACGAGATAAAAAGTCGTACGAACGAAATAAAAAGTCGAACGAACGAAATAAAAAGTCATAAAAAGTCCTACGAACGAAATAAAAAGTCGAACGAACGAGATAAAAAGTCATAAAAAGTCCTACGAACGAGATAAAAAGTCGTAAGAATGAGATAAAAAGTCGTACGAATGAGATAAAAAGTCGCACGAACGAGATAAAAAGTCATAAAAAGTCCTACGAACGAAATAAAAAGTCGAACGAACGAAATAAAAAGTCATAAAAAGTCCTACGAACGAAATAAAAAGTCGAACGAACGAGATAAAAAGTCATAAAAAGTCCTACGAACGAAATAAAAAGTCGAACGAACGAGATAAAAAGTCATAAAAAGTCCTACGAACGAGATAAAAAGTCGTAAGAATGAGATAAAAAGTCGTACGAATGAGATAAAAAGTCGTAAGAATGAGATAAAAAGTCGAACGAACGAGATAAAAAGTCGTACGAACGAGATAAGAAGTCGTACGAACGAGATAAAAAGTCGAACGAACGAGATAAAAAGTCGCACGGAGGAGATAAAAAGTCGTATGAATGAGATAAAAAGTCGTACGAACGAGATAAAAAGTCGTACGAACGAGATAAAAAGTCGTACGAACGAGATAAAAAGTCGTACGAACGAGATAAAAAGTCGTACGAACGAAATAAAAAGTCGTACGAACGAAATAAAAAGTCGAACGAACGAGATAAAAAGTCGTACGAACGAGATAAGAAGTCGTACGAACGAGATAAAAAGTCGTACGAACGAGATAAAAAGTCGTACGAATGAGATAAAAAGTCGTACGAATGAGATAAAAAGTCGTACGAACGAGATAAAAAGTCGTACGAATGAGAGAAAAAGTCGTACGGACGAAATAAAAAGTCGCAAGAATGAGATAAGAAGTCGTAGGAATGAGATAAGAAGTCGTAAGACGAGATAAAAAGTCGTACGAACGAGATAAAAAGTCGTACGAACGAGATAAAAAGTCGTACGAACGAGATAAAAAGTCGTACGAACGAGATAAAAAGTCGTACGAACGAGATAAAAAGTCGTACGAACGAGATAAAAAGTCGTACGAACGAGATAAAAAGTCGTACGAACGAGAGAAAAAGTCATAAAAAGTCGTACGAACGAGATAAAAAGTCGTACGAATGAGATAAAAAGTCGTACGAATGAGATAAAAAGTCGTACGAACGAAATAAAAAGTCGTACGAAAGAGATAAAAAGTCGTACGGACGAGATAAAAAGTCAAACGAATGAGATGAAAAGTCGTACGAATGAGATAAAAAGTCGTACGGATGCGATAAAAAATCGTAGGAACGAGATAAAAAGTCAGAAAAAGTCGTACGAACGAGAGATAAAGTCGTAGGGACGAGATAAAAAGTCGTACGAACGAGATAAAAAGTCATAAAAAGTCGTACGAACGAGATAAAAAGTCGTACGAATGAGAGAAAAAGTCGTACGAATGAGAGAAAAAGTCGTACGGACGAGATAAAAAGTCGTACGAATGAGAGAAAAAGTCAGAAAAAGTCGTACGAACGAGAGACAAAGTGGTAGGAACGAGATAA